TGTGTAAACTAAACTCGTGTTAATCCGATATTCTCTTTACTGGATTAGGTAAAACAATCATTTGTAAATGATTCAATCAATCATACGCATAATGAAATAACACGAAGTATTCTTTTTTATATATTATATATTGTAAGCAGTGTTGGCCTACTGGCATCAGCGTGCGACTCTCATCGCTGAGGCCGTAGGTTCAATCCCCGGCCTTCCACCAATGGACTTTATTTCTATGTGCGCATTTAACATTCGTTCGAACGGTGAATAAAACATCACTAGGAAACCGACTTGCCTTAGACCCGAACAGTCGACGACGTGTGTCAGGCAAAGGAGACTGATCACCTACTTGCCTAATGCCTATTAGATTGACAAATGATAATGATGATTAGGGCCACTGATTTATTTTTATTGTTTATAGAACCACAAGCTCCCTAGCTAAAAACACGTATTATAAAACATACAAAGGAATACATAGCCGCCAGTTTATATAACATAACCATGATGAAACCACGTGCGGAAACTAGCAATAGACACCCACTCAAAGCCAGAGGGCACGTCTGACATTTGAAACTAAAATTCACGTTTCTAACTAGAAAAATTACATTTTAAGCCGGGTTCTTCCTTTTTATATATCTGTGTCCTTGTAAAGTGAACATAACACGATCATGTCATATATGTATGAACATATAGATCGGAGTCCCTTTAAAGAGTTAACGGTTTCAAAATAAGTTTATAGTTAGTAAATATAACGCCATTTCACTGCCTGTTTTCTTAAATTATCAACAACAAACTTGGTAGCTGAAACGCATAATGCTTTAGATATTTGAATTAATTTATTTTACATTAAACAGTACCCACGTCTGATTATAATGATTAAAAAATTTCACATCCTTTTCGCTTTTTCTCTATTAATAAATGAAATTAATGAAACCTTTTACCAACAGAATGCAATAATTTTCATTAAAAGGCAACTATGTATTCTATGATGGCCTAGTGTCGTCAGCGTGCGTCCCTGAGGTCATAGGTTCGATCCCGGCTTTGGACTTTCTATGTGCGCACTTAACATTTGCACGAACAGTGAAGGAAAACTTTACGAGGAAGCTTGCCATAGACCCAAACAATCGACGGCGTGTGTCAAGCACAGGAGGCTGATCACTTACTTGCCTATTAGATTGACAAATAATTATGAAACAGATACAGAAAACTGAGGCCCAGACTTAAAAAGGTTATAGCGCCACTGATTTATTTAATTTTATTAATTTCTATACCATTTTAACCCTGGACGAAACTGTAAACAATCAATGTAAATTCGTCCAAATTGTTTTTAAAACTAAAAGTCAAGAGTCAAACCATCATTTTTAACAGCTATGACTTATATGTCAAATTCTAAATTCAAATAAGCGTATTCAATTAAGGCCCCGTAGTTTGGGGTATTAATTAGGGCACGTGCCGCCCCCGTGGGGGTATGGGACTATGCGGCTTTCGACCGTAAGTATAGGGCATAGAGCCTCCGTCAGGGCTAAAAGGAGATTAATTGGGAGTCAACTCGAGAGGTTCGTACATGCTGGTACATTTATTATTGTCTGCGAACTGTTGACGGGAAATGTAAACGCCTTGTTTTTAATCTATGCATGTGATATATACCATACCTAGGATATTAGAAATCTGTACGTCTGGTTCTTTATAGAATTTATAAAATGTCTTAATTATTAGGTATTATTTTTCAAGTTGCTAAGGTCAGAAGTTTTGTTATACGCTCGTAATTTTTTTATAAAATACTTTTTTTTAATCTGGCAAAGTTTTGATGCAAGAAGTTTTATAGCCATTCAATTATTTGTATTGCCCTTGTGGCTTTCTTATTAAATAAATTAACCTTCTTCTATAAAAGAGATTAGTAGAGGTAAGCAAAAATACAGAAAAGCTAAAAAAATAAAATTCTTCGCAAATACTTAAAACATCTTCCGGTTAAAGCCATCTTGATCAGATTAGAAAAAAGTAAATAAAATACGCATTAACACACCTATAGCCACCTGGATAAAGGTAAAAAAATCGATAAAAAAATCTCGACACTGTAGCGTAATCCCCTTCAAACGAATAATAGGAAGCACTTGAGCCGATCGACCCGTTATTTAAAAAGTCCCATTGTGCTGGCAACCCTCGATAATTATTATTTTCGTAGTTGGCGACACTGCAACGCACAATGGAGCCCCGCGCGTTTCCTGTTTACCTTTGCGCGCTATTTCACGTCAATGTCAGGCCAATTTAAATTTACTTTGCTGCTTTCAAATGTCATTTAATAATCGCTCGGACATTAGTGCGTTTGTCAATGATGCGTCAACTTGTGCAAAATCCTTTTATTGTCAAATGCCTTTATGTATGCCGACCCATTACATTATACCTATAATTACTGGAGACACCCAATGAAGGTCCGACAAATGACGATAGAAAAGGTTTTTTAATGTTATAGAAATAACATTAATACAAATAAAGAGCCTGCGGTTCAGGTTTGCTTTATAAGCAAATGCTTTATAAGCTTTAAATTTAAATCGGTGGCAAAATTGATATTTTGATCAATATTGTACCTCTCATGAGTTAAACAAATTATCAAAACTATTATTTTATTTAAACATTGTGCGTCAATCTCTATGCCACCGTTCAGTTAAGGTAAGGAGATCGATATATATGCAGCACTATTATCGAAAAATTTTTTAAGAAAATAGTAACATTGAACAAGTGTAATTTATTAAAAACTTTAGATTACTATAATAAGTGGCAACACTGCTGACATAAACAATTCCATCTTTGCTCACCACTCACACAATATGGCTGTATAAAATTGCCTCTTAAACATCGTTAAATTATTAAGAACGCACCAGTTTCCTATGTCTTTTGTTAGTCTAACTGGTGTGCTCAATTCAACAATAGAGAACGCCAATTAGAGCCGAAGCATTGTCTATGATCGGATCTTTGTTCGCGCCACTCGAAACTGCCTGCCATTTTAATTAGGGGCCATTGTTTTAAACGCCATAGACACGGTTGTCTTTGGATTTCTATGTTGCAATTGTTTTTTTGCTTATGTTAAAGTTGGCACGTACTGGCTGGTGCGACTTATTAATTATCTGTGTTATGATTGTTGCCTTAAAGTATCTTTAATTTTCTGTGCAATGAATCAAAATGTATTTTGACAGTTGACATGGCTGATTAATAATGTTATGAGACTTTCGTGTCGTTTATAAAGTAACTAAAGGTGATAAGATATTCTTTAGTATAGTAACAGTACATTTAAGATAGAGGTGAACAACGCATTTTCTCTCAGTAGAACAAACCAAAGAATCTCAGCCGAGTTGACCAAACTCCTTCTCTCTTAGATGTTACTATGTACCTACTAGAATCAAACCAGTACCACTGACAAGGCTCATGTGTAACTTGGTGTAAATAATAAATCGTTTATTTGCTAAAATAAGTGGATGGAATCATTCAGATTGATTAGTCATAAAAAAATCCGCACAATCAGCCATATAGGCATGCAAATGTCATATTATTTATCATAATGTCATAATAATAAGAACAGTTAAGTAAAACTTAATCACCTTCCCTTTGAAAGCATTACACGGCAGTGATCTATTCTTCTAGGAAGGTGATTGTAACAATTTTTTACATACATCGTGGTGCAACATGGCACCCACAGCCGTGTTGGATCCCTCAGTACAGGCAAGATTCTTTTTACAGTCATAAGTTCTAGGATAATATATAAACTTGGTACTGTCAAAATACCGAGCTCGTGAACTTCTACAGCTTACAAGAGATACACCCATAATAACCCTAATATATTTTTCTGAGTAATAAAAACTTTATTCACATCAACCGTAGGAGGAAAATACGACAGTAATTTTGTGCTTATTGATTGTCGAATGTGAAAACACAAGGTTAGATTTAAAAATATTTGTATAGCAATCAAAATTCGGTCTGTTTATGAAAAAGTAATCCCGTGCACACGGCGAAGGGAGGACATAATTGGGACACGCGACTCGCACGATTTATTTGCGATTAATGCATTACTAATATGCGCCGAACACTTTTATCGATTTAAACATGCATTTTCATTAAACCCATTTCTCTGTAACCGACATCCAAAAAGGAGGTTATCGGTATGAAATACTAAGATAATCTATTTACAATCTCGTGTGTTTAATTTCGTATGTTTGTCTACAAATTTCTTCAACTAAAAGTCAAATTGAGATGATATTTTTACTTAAATCAATTTTACATAAAACGGTTGAGTACTTTTTGAGATCCGCATTCTTAAATTGCATATATATCATATATAAAATTGGTACATCTTGAATTTGTTTCAAATTCGTAATTTTTTAAAATAAATAATTCCCGAATTTATTCAAATAAAATTGTCAAGTCAAGATTTACGACTCCCGTATGTCCAAAACGTTTATTATTAAATAAAAATAATATTTAAGCAAACACGGCCTAATCTATTATGAGACTGATTAATTATCATTATAGGATTATGACAAGGCAACCTATGTTGTTTTCTATTATTTCATCCAACTTAAAAATTCTATAAATTCTTTGCAAGTGACATGGCAAATTTAGTAGAATTCCAAAACTTTTAAAGTTCAATTTTTTTTATTAATTATCTGGGGTAAGATGCTCTACTTCGGTTTGAAGTTGACTAATAGGCCATCCTGTATAACTAAGTTTTACAAAACTTTTTTTAAAGAAGATTATATAAAACAGTACCCATATCATGATGTCATGGCAGTGGATGAAGCGAAAATGGGTTTTTCCCGACTGTAGCAAGTGGAGATCTGTGGTCTCTGCCTATCCCTTTGGGAAAAGGTTTGATAATATAAATAAATATAAAGTAAAATTAAGCCTATCGCATTCGCCAGTAAAGATAGTTGTGTATGGTATTCATACCGTAAATATTAGGGCTCTAACCAGAATTTTACCAACGTTAGTCTTGCTATTATTACGAAAAGCATACTCACTATGCTGTGGAGGAGGTACTGAGGAGTAGGTGTTATCTCTGGGCAGATGATGTCCCAGCATCCTATGTCCAGCCATCTCCAGATTGGCTACTGTGTGTGACCGGACCATACCTGCGTAAGGAAACCTTGATATTAAAAATTACCTAAATGAGATTGATACGAGCTGTACTGTACGGAGTAGTAACGTGGATTATCTAGGCTCCAGATAGGCAAATGATTGCCTTTGAGATGTGGTGCTGGACGCAAATGTGAAGAAAACCGTGGACTGCGAAGCGCACCAATACATCGATCTACACAACTCCGCATACGAACTCGCCTGTCTACCATATGCCGACAACTAATTATATCATATTTCGGCCATACAATGCGCAGAGCCGATGAGAACTTGGAGAAACAGAACGTGGTTGGTAACAGAAGGCCGTTCACAAACTAGATGGACCGATCAAGTGAAAGACTCATCGTCCTCAAAACTGTACACTGTAAGAAAAGCGCTGGACAGAAACCGGTGAAAACAGTTTGTATGTAACACTAGTTTTTTTAAGAAATAGTTTATAGAATTGCTCAAATAAAATCTATTTTATCATGAATATTTTAGACAGCTACTATGTTGTTAGTTCATAAGGTATCATATAAAATTTCAAAGACAAAGCAAAACAAAAATAAACGTTTTACATAGCACTTTTGAATCTACATTTTTCTTAGTTAGTTAGTACCTACCTGCATAAGATAATTAATCGGTAAAAAATACAATAAACGGTATGTGGTATATGGTGATATGATACAAATTTGATAGCTGTTCTGTAAATTATAATCAAATTTATTTATATTTTAACACTATGTTGCATTACATATTTGATACAAATACATTCAGATAACATAAATTAAGGAGACAACGGCTTAATCACTAACAAACGATCCCTTCCAGACAACCCTAGTAAGAAAACAAGAAATACTACATAAATTGCTTAACTAAATAGAAAAATAAAAACCATAAATCATGAATAACGATGCTAGGACTACAAAAAACTCAAGTTTTTATAATTACTAAAGTCACGATTAAACAGATGGACAGGAAAGGATATGGCTAAGAGGTATTTAAGAAGATTTTTAATGTTCCAGAGCATGTTTGTCTTTTAAATATAAGGACTGCTAGTAGAAGAATAAGAGTTATTATTATAACAACAACTTGTACATGAATAAAAGCAGTGTTGCCTAGTGGCTTGAGCGTGCGACCCTTAAGTTTTGTGTTTCTTTCAATATGCACAACCAACGCTCGCTCGTACGAAGGAAAACATAGCGAAACCGGCATGCCTTAGACCAAAAGTGGACGTGTGTCAGGCGCAGAAGACATCTTTAGCTAGGAAAAACATGACCACGAAACATACAGAAATCGGAAACAAAGCTTAGTTTGTTTTGTACATGATTAACAAAATGCTCACCGATTTGCGGCCTCCAATTGCGATTCTCCTGCTGCGACAGATCCCCTGGTTTTAGTACCCTGGCGGGTTCCGTGGCACCCCGGAGACGGCGAGCAGGGAAGATGAACTCTTCCGGGTAATCTGGGTCTTGGTACCGGACGCATAACACCCGGTTATCCAGGACAGGGGCAAGGCCCACCACGGGAGACGATAGTTGCCTGGATAAATTAACATTGTTCTTAAAATTTAAATTTAACGCCCAAAAATTGCTTAATTTGAATTCTATTATCGTACATCAGTTTAACTGCAGGTTATGATATCGGGTTCATGAATGGTGTAATGGTTCTTACATGCATACTATGTAAAAAATATTAAAAAAAAATAAGGTAAAAATTCGAATTTCAAGTAACAATCTCGTCTTGTCAAATGTCAAACTTTAACCTGATACCAGATTTATCTTTGATTGATGTTCTAGAACGGGCCTCCAATTCGTTTCTTTTTGTCGGTTTTCCACCCTTGATTTGAGACATACTGACATCTAGTATTGTAAAAATTCTATTATTTAACATATTTTTACCAATTTGACTAAATTATATTTTGATTTTTAACAATGATGTTGAAAATCTTCGCAGTGGTCAAATCTAAACTAAAAACCCATTTCTAATCTTACAAATATCTACGTAAGGCCCTATCCCAGCACGAATTGCTGTGTCAGTGTCTCGGGGTGGACTTCGAGGCGCAGTGGAGAGCTGGAGCACTGAGGCGCGCCGCCCTTAATAATAATTAGTTATGTAACACATTAAATTAATGTAATTTTATAATTTTTTTTTCTGAAATTGATTACTTGGCTTGCGATAAAATAGATCGTGTAAACTTCAAAATCATGTTCTATATACACTTTCGTCATAAAATGAATTCAAAGTGTCGAAAATTGGCTATGTTTGGATTTTTTTCTATCGAGCGAAGTTATTTAAATCGTGTATCGATCTTTCAAAATGGATACATAAACTACTCAACTACACCATAATTTTTTTTCCATTCACCCTACTTCAAGAAACGATGACGAAAAATGGAAAGAAACAATTTTTGGAGTTTGGCGACCAGATCGGTCCTTAATATAGCCAGTCTCAATAGAAAACAATTACTGGTGCCGTGGGCGATTTTTAGCAAACAATACTTCTAATACATACCCGCCAATAATGACATCATCAGCACTCAGCAGTACATCTCCACGCACACCCTCACTTCTATAAGGATAGCGCTGATCGCTCTCTATAAGCTTTTTCAACTCCGCCCCAGCTGCCTGGTACAAGCCCAGCAAAAACTCATAGCTTTGGTTGCCCGTTGATACGTATAGGCGGTCGTGACCGCGAATGTTTCTTTTAACTGTAAGGAAAAATAAAATAAAAATTGTATATATTAGAACAGAGGGCAAACACCTGAGCGCCTGATGTTGAGTGATACCGCCCATGGACAATCTCAATGTTAGAGGGCTTACAAATACTATACTATTTCCCCATGCCTCCTGCTGATAGAGGACAAATCTTTGTTTTTAATTTATTTTATTATCATTAATTACTTAAGACGTCATGTGGAACATGGTGTAATTATTGCAGCTCCTTACAAACGTTGTGTAAAACAAAAAACTTGGCGATTAAAAAGAGTGGCGGAGAGTTTATTGCCAGTTCTTCTCTTTCGTTCTACGCCCTTGATTTGAGAACTGGCAGTAAATGTAAAATTAGAAGAATTTCATATATATTTATTTTTTGACGTTCATTTTGTTACATATATGAATAAATGATTTTTGAATTTGAAATACACACTTTCAGCCTGCGACAGATCCTCGTAATAGGGCTCCAGAGCCTTGAAGAGTCTCGCCTCGTCCACGAAGGGCAGCAAGGCGACTCCTTGCCACGCGAACTTCTTCCCGTTCAAGTCTATCTTGAAGTCGATCGGGTAGAAGTCTATTATCGGTGAAGACTGTAAAAAACAAGTTTAGACGCAAATTTAAAAAAAAGAAAATATTTTCACATCACTGATACAACATGGAACACTTCGATCTAACCTTACTTAAGACTAATAAGTAATTTAAAACTACTAAAAACGATATTCTCATCAGAAAGTTTTCAATACCACTACTTACAGTCTCTATTAAGGGGAAGGCACTCTGTTTCTATCTCTAGTTCAAAGTACTTTTCAATCTTCTCACTAGGCTCGAGAATAATGAAGAATATAAGAGTAAAACTTCTTTGGAGGAAAAGGAAATATGTCAACGCGGACCGAGGTTAACGAGGTTAACTGGTAGTTCCTATGACTGAGATTGGTCAAAATGAATGACGATTTCTCTTCGCGAATTTACGAAGTAAACTGTGGTATTATATTCAGAGACCTTTCATCTTTTGTAATGATAAAGATTTTTAAATTACTAAAAAGTCTCCATACGTACCGGATCGCTCATGAGCTTTGCCCACGGCTGAGGCACGTGTTGTGAACTGGCAGCTGGGAACACGCCCATTAGCTGCTCTAGAGGTCGGAACTGAAATTACCGCTTTTGTTATTTCAAGATATACAAATATAAAAAATTAAATACATATAATAGTATCAATCGCTTATACTGGGAATAAATAAGGCGCTTCTATATATTATGTCAAGTGACATAAATTAAACATCGTCGATCAGACGGCAAAGACAACATTACATAAGAGTTTATATAAAATACGATATAGACAAGTATATATATGTAGAAAATTAATTAAGTTAACAAGATTTCTCAAGGCTAACTTTAATTAATAAACCAAACTGTTTTGTCTTAAGATCTAGTTTAATAATTCAGTTACTTAAAAACTACTTTAAAGATGGTTTTGAAAATAAATCAGTAGCGTTACAAACTTTTTAGATCTGGGCCTCAGATTTCTGTATCTGTTTCATGATCATTTGTCAATCTAATGGGCAAGTAGGTGATCAGCCTCCTGTGCCTGACTCACGCCGACGACTTTTTGGGTCTAAGGCAAGCCGGTTTCCTCACGATGTTTTCCTTCACCGTTCGAGCGAATGCGAAATGTTACCTCAGGGATGATAGTCACACGCTGACGCCACTAACATGCACTTGCTACGTTACAAGATATTAATTTTTTAACAATGTAATAAATACTAATATTTAAACTCACTGGCTTCGTGCCCTTCTCGAATTTGGTGCTAAGTCCGCTAATATTGACAAAGTCCGAAGCGAAGGGGGCGTAATGGTACGGGAAGTACCACTTCCACGAAGCACAGCCCTGGTAGTAGTAGCGAAGCACCCAGCAGAGGCCGCGCACGTATTGTAGGGCTACCCGGTACCTGAAAATGGCATATCACCTTTAAAAGGAATGATACAATCTATAACAGACGGCTTTTGAAAAATTGAGACGAAACAACTTTTTTAGATTAAATATTTACTTATTAATTAAAAATTCCAGATGATTCAATATTGCACTAATTACATAGCGATTGTACGGAGTCAAAGCAAATTTACAACGTTTTTATGCACCTCAGGACATCAGGACGATTTCTTAGTTTTATAAGCGATTTTCCCAATTGGTCGGAGAATTCCAGGAAAAGAATTTTTGTGTATGTGTGTATTCGAATTTAGTCAAGGAGAGAGCACTTTTCTGTGTTGGAGTGTATTATTCTTTAGAATAAAACCTAGATTAATAAATAGAGTAAAATTACCTTCATATAATAATAAACGAAACATATTCATACCTAAACTCCAAGTTATTCTTGTCCACCTCAAACTTGCTCTCATAGTATCTCTCCTTGAAGCCTTCTTCCCAGAGCCGAACTTCGTCGTGTTTGTCATCGTCATCATCGAGACCGGCCTGGGTGGCGCTGCGCTTGCGCGACCGGCCTGACTCTTCTTCTTCTCTCTATAAAAATGGCTTATAAAGTTCTACAGTCCAATATATTTGATCTTTTGTAAAGATTAAACTCGCAAACAACGATCAATCGAACCATATTTTATATATTTTAGTCACGGGCAGCATGTCAAACCAACAAAAATGTCGCTAATATTTTAACGCAAATCAAAATATCTATATCAGATCGTATTCATGAATTGAAAACTTTAATATGATTATAGAAATGCTAATATAAGAAAAAGGGAAAAAAAAAAGGAAGGGGGGGGGGAAAAGATTCAAACCCCTCTTTTCCGTTATCCATGTATAATACCCCCCCCTAAAAAAAAAAAAAAAAAAAAAAAAAAAAAAAAAAAAAAAAAAAAAAAAAAAAAAAAAAAAAAAAAAAAAAAAAAAAAAAAAAGGGGGGGGGGGGGGGGGGGGAAAAAAAACCAAACAAAGGGGGGAAAAAAAAAAAAAAAAAAAAAAAAAAATTTGGGGGGGGGCCCCCCTTCCCCCCCCCCCAAACCCCCCCCCCAACAAAAACCATCCCAAAGGAGGGGGGGGAAAAAAAGGGGGGGGGGGGGATTTGGTTGGGGGAAAATTGGGGGGGGGTTTTTTGAAAAAAAATTTTAAAAAAAAAAAACCCCCCCCCAACCATACTGATTAAATAGATATATCTTCTATATGTGATACACGTATAAATGTATGTGTAATAGTGAATTTGTTGGTCCACTCACATTGGCAACAGCTTGCATTCCCGCTCGACGAATCTCAGCGGCTTCTTGTCGGGCATTTTGTACCGTTTTGGGTCCACCTCCAAGAGCCTGTAAAATATAAAAGATTAAAGGTTTTATGTTTCGTGCAACGCAATTCAATACGAGTATGAAGAAATTAAGCACTTTACTTTACTCGAATTTAATAACAGACTAGATTATTATTATTTAGCTTGTTTTATTATTTATTTTCTAATCTTATTATTATTAAGAATATTATTATTTAGCCTGTATTAAGCACAACACTTTTTCAAATTTCCTTTATGAATATGTTTGATCATAAAACCAGATTTCTACATACCCTAGGCGCAAATTGCGTGTCCTCAAGCAGTTGAAAGTTAATTTTCTGCTGTTTTTTAGCTTTTTCCCGGGCTTTGAAGCTAACTTCATTTTGATGCCGGCGTTTGAAGATCTCGTCTTCGACACGTCCCAGCTCGTCCATTATAACTTGAACTCTGTCCAAGTTTACATCTCCCGAATCTGTTATCCAGCCCTACAAAGTAAACGACGTCAATTTTAAACAAAATTTAGTTCAATTTGTTCAAACAAAATATGCCTAATAACATTTTTTTAAACATTTATATTAAAAATGTAAAAATATTTAAAAACGTAAAAATATTTAAATTTCCTTAGGTTACTAAAATCTGTAAATATCTACAAACTACCCTCATTTGAACTACCCTACCTTAGTTTTGTAAACGCACTTCTTATACAAGTTGACAAGTCGATCTACCGCCCCCTCTCTTATCTCAAGGCTGGGTAAATGAGGTAAAAAGTCGTTTCCCACGAAGAAACACATAAACACCCAGTCATCTAAAGCTCGCTCAAAGTCATATGGAAAAGGTAAGTTCGGCATTTGTAATTCCTGCAAAAGAAATTTTATCTAAATAAGAAATTCCTGAAGAATGAACATTTAAACATTGTCTATAGAATGAATACTACACATGCTCTGTGTCCCCTCTACTCTCTATTGACTATAGCCATCTGTCAATGACTTGTAACACATATAATACAGACAATACAAATATAGAGGCTTTTCATGTAACAAGAGTTTTTACTGTTAACCTTCCAGAGGCTTAAATTTACCTTTTCTAAATATTCTCTAAGAACATTCAGCCTCACAAATATAAAGCTGTCTTGATTTCCAAATGCTGGATCAGACCTTACTAACGCAGCATCGGGACTACTGCCAGTGCATTCTTTCATTTCGTGGCCTGGAAATATTATTGGTATCAATGAGAACATTTCTTAAAACCCTTTTTTATAACCAATTAGCACAGCAACCAACACTCAACAGAAATGTCTTAAATTCATAAAATGCCGACAATGTTATAACAAAAAATTGAATTGAAAAATACCATAAACTATAAACTAAGTGAAAAAAGACCATAAAAAATCAGACACATATCTATAATCTAAAAAATAAAATAATGCATTGAAATATATCTAGTAATTAATTAAGAAATATTAAAGTTTCGTAAATTTAATATTGCTGACACCCAGTACAATATAATAACACTTATTTAAGTTACATAAATAAAACTTAATCTAATACGTCGCTTGACCTGTTTTAGGTAGTCAAGTCATAATGAAACATAAATTTAAACATATTTAATAGTACCTACCAAGTTGTCCACATACATCACAAGGCCTAGGTTTATTGGGTTTAAACTCTTCCCTTATGATGGTAAAATTAGGTTCATGTGTTGCCAGTCCCAACATAATAAGGTCAGCATCAGCACCACATAACACATGCTGTGTGTTTGGATCATGGTCTGGTTGAGCTGTGAAAATATTATTTGGAAATGGCTAAGCATTACATAGTTACAGTTTTAATAATTGTAGTGTACAGTTAAAGTATAAATAAATAAAAAACTACTTAAGAATGTAACTTATATCAAAAATAATGTAATGAATGTTATAGACTAGATCTTTATATTATAGCTTAATGTATTACCTCTCTGTCTACGAATGTAGTCCATAATTTTGTGTTCCCCTTCCCCTGGCACATTAGCATCAGATAAAATAACTTTGATGCCTTTCCATCCTGGGTCACTGTTTAACCTGTATTAAATTAAATCCTGTGTCATATACATAGATAATAATTTAAAAACATGTGCTTACCATATATATTTATTTTATTAGCAAAATACCCCATCAGACTTTTGACTATGTCAAAACTCTTATATTATATCTTTGGGTCTACCCACATTATATATGCAACACTAGCTGTCATTGCTTAGTTCTTAATTTTTTAACGAATTGAATCATTATTAATAAAACCCTACCTGTCATGAATATAATAATGTAAGCATTTGCTAAGTCTGTCCATGAATGGGGTCCCTGGTGTGATACAATTTGAGTCAAAATGGGCCTCTTTGGGCCTTTCAGGAGGTAGATATGCACCCTTCACTTCTAGCTCTGAGCGAATGCGAGCTACTTCTTCAATTTTTTCTTGAGTTTCCTTTGAAGCTCTGAACCGACGGGATCTTTGCTGGTTCATTTTAGCCCTTGGTGCCTTACATATCAAATATAATCATATTAATATAATTTTACTAAGAATACATCAACAATGGGATATTTTTTAATGTGTTAATGTTTATTATGCCTTTAAACCACTGGGATATTAATTACATCAACTGTTAACAATTTACCTTGGCCCAAGGCAACATCTGCAATTAACTTGGATAGTTATATCAAATAAAGTTATTAAATTATAGTCCAATTTAGTTATTCTGTATTATCTGTGAAAAGATGTTGTATGATATTTTCTAATAAAGGGAACATTAATGTACAGGACTATACTATAATGTACAATTTATAAATATAGATATATATAAAAAAATATGAAAATAAACTATTAACCATGTATACAGATACAATAATGCCCAATTATACAAGGTGTGACCGTGAGACAAACCCCAAACAATGATTTTTAATTCAAATCATCAAGAATTTATGAATTAATTATGATATAAAAAATATGAGTACAACTTACAACACCATCAATAGCCATGTACAAAACCTTCCTAGGTCGTACAATACGAAAAAGGCGGTCAATACATTCAAAAATTGCTACCATCATCTCATCTTCATCTTTAGGGGGAGGCTTATCTTCAGGATGGGTACAAGGATGAATAATACCATTCATATCCAAGTAAAGATTGTCAAACTCCAAACCATTTGGGTTTGGAAGTGATGAGTCCACATACACTAACTGGCCATCTACATCGACTGGCTAAAAATAAAAGATTAGATAAATATCTGAAGCAAGCTTCATCTGCGTAATTTACTCAGATTTACTAATGTTTCAATGAACACACTCAGCTAACATTAAGTATTTTATGCAGTAAAATTGTTCTAAAATCAGCATATTTACATCTTAATTATCAAGCTCATTTAGAGTTAGTAAACAATTATTCAAACACAAAAATGAATTAAATAGTCATAAAACCCGAGTAGTATTTATATGAATTAAACATTTAGCACTCTTAGTTAATGTTAGCATTAGCTTGATAGACGAATCTACACATCATTTCTTACAATATTTTAAACCTTAAGGCTTAAACTTTGCATCTTAATTATTAAGCTCATTTAGAGTTAGTAAACAATTATTCAAACACAAAAATGAATTAAATAGTCATAAAACACGAGTAGTATTTATATGAATTAAACATTTAGCACTTTTAGTTAATGTTAGCATTAGCTTGATAGACGAATCTACACATCATTTCTTACAATATTTTAAACCTTAAGGCTTAAACTTTACATGTCCTTTAATATTAGAGCAGCATAATTCGGATAAAAGATCGCATCAATCGCATCAACACAATTTTAGCGAATATAAGTTATAATATGTTTATAGGTTATATTCCTTACCCTCTGTTCAATACATTCGACAATAACACTAGGATATTTGCGGCTAAGCCATCGAAAGAAAGCTGGAACTCCCATTCTTTACACTTTGTTTCACTAGAATAATTTGAAATTCTGGTAAATAATATTAAATTGAATTGTCACGTATTCAACACAAACAAATCGACGCAGATGCCATGGTTAGTAACTTAAATAATAATAATAATAATAATATATATCATATACTCTATGGTTCAAGAGTATAATCCACAGATCAGGTAAAGTATAATCAATCACAGGTCAGTCTCGTAATAGGGTATGAGTTAATGAGTCGACGCGATGGGTCTACTACAATTTCGTAGCGTAGAAAAACTGAAATTCTCTTTTAATTAGTACTTCAGTATAAAAATATCAAATAGTGGTATTAAGTTTTGTTTCATTGAATCACAACGAAATCTATGAAGTAAATTCTTTACAAATTAATTGTAATCTGTTATCAATATCAAGTCCTGTATTAGTATACTCTTTGAATCAGCTGTTCTTTATTTTGGAATTTGGATTATCAAATTGATTATCGGCAATTCTTTTTCTATAGAAAAATGAAAACATATTCTATATTAAACTATTACAGAAAACTAATAAAATATGGCAGCATGCGCACGTACTGCAGCTCCTTGGGAGGAGAGCCAAACAATATGGAAAAAATAAGAAATATCGGCATTTTAGCTCATATTGATGCAGGTTAGAACTTTCAAGTTGCTTTACAAATGATATTGATGATTGTATTTAAATTTAAGTTTCTTCCGTATACAGGTAAAACGACAACAACGGAACGTATGCTGTTTTACTCTGGTACTATTAGAACAATGGGAGAAGTGCACCATGGAAATACTGTAACAGATTACATGGAACAAGAGAGGCAGCGGGGCATAACTATAACTTGTATGTATTTTATAAATTCTTTTTAGTCACTATTTACTAAATATTCTAGCCATAATTGCTCATATCTGTAATTTACACTACCTTTTAGAGATCTTATTTCTGCTGAAACACTTATTTTTTTAGGCTCAAATCTACCTGAAGGAAATGTATATTTTACAACTTTAACATATTTCTTTAGTTTATAAGTAAAAATAGTCAGTGCTAACTAAGTCCTAGGTATGAATAAGATTGGTTTTTTGCAGTAGCTACAAACTAACAAACTCTAATGCCAGGAAAATCATGTAATCATTATAAGCATATTAACAATTGTGACTTGTCTATTTACAGCGGCGGCTGTTTCATTTCCCTGGAATGGTTATCAGCTTAACTTAATTGACACACCAGGACACATTGATTTTACAATGGAGGTGGAGCAGAGCTTAGCTGTTTTAGATGGTGCCATTGTTGTCTTGGATGCTTCTGCTGGTAAGATTACAAAAATTTACTGACATAACTAACACCAAAACAGAATTTGTGTTTGTTTTCCCTATGTTAGTTTCAAGTTTTATAAGAGACTTTAAACTTGATACCTTGATAGTTAATGTTTTATAATACCCACATCTGCACTGCAATTCTGTGTTTGTCAATGATCAAATTTACTTTACTTTCAAGAATTGTCGACCTCATTTAAATGTCAATGTGGTGGTGTTAATTTTGGCTTCTTCTTATGGCCATGTGCCTCTCTTGTGAATGGGTGTTGGTACTTGTTGTGGCTGGCGGGACTTGAATTTGTGTATGCTGTGAAATCATTAATTTTATTCCAAATTTACACTGATGTAGAAAATGTGATTTTCAAGTAAGCTATCATTGGCATTTACAAAACATGGGGTTCCCTATTACATTCTCTCTGTATTAAAATATACAACTTTACTTAGTTGGTTAAATTATAAACTACTATAATTGTTGTGTCCCAACAAAAATAAGTTTTTTTATATATATTATTTAATACCTTTTATTTGATTTTAAGGAGTCGAAGCACAAACATTAACAGTTTGGCGTCAAGCAAATGGTTACCAGGTGCCCCGGATTCTGTATCTAAACAAAATGGATAGAGCAGACGCCGATGTGTCTATCTGTGAACAGTCCATACGTGATAAACTTAGAGCTCTGCCACTCCTATTACATGCTCCAGTTATGCATGAGGGAAGACTTGTTGGTACGTTTATTTTGCGTGTTCAAAACATTGTATTGTCTATGTTTTAACTGATGTTTTTTGCTACAATATTGATGAATGTTGAAGAAATAGAATGGATTCTAGTTACACAGTTCCAATCATACAGATAAGCTGTAAACATTATTTTCCACAATAGTTTCCCATTTATATAATTACTAACTTTTATCTAACCATATCAAAAAATTGAAGTAATTGTGCTGAATTATTCTAGGCTATTCAAAATTTTTATTTAATAGGTCTCATTGACTTAGTGACGTTAGAAGAGGTTGTATGGAGTTCAGGTCGTGGCCAAAATTTAAATAAACGAAAATTATCTGAAGCCACTGACGGCAAGCAATGGGAAAGAGCCATGACTGACCATAGACAAATCATAGACAGACTCTCTTCTATAGATGACGAGTTGGCAGATATGATTATACAACAAGAATCATTGGACAATATAGACACAGAAGACATTGTGAATGCTATAAGAAGATGCACCTTGAACATGTCTGCGTTTCCAGTATTATGCGGCAGTTCCTATAAAAATATAGGTGTACAGACCCTAATGGATGGAGTTATATCTTATTTACCGAATCCGATAGAGGGCAGTAGATTACAGAAATATTTTGGGGCCGATTTATGTGCGCGGGCGTTCAAAGTTCAGCATGATGATCAAAGAGGGGTGTTAACATTTCTGAGGCTGTACGGAGGGGAGTTCACGAAAGCCCAAAAGATTTATAACATTGCCAGGGATAGTAGCGAACAGGTACAGTTTTTGGAAACAATATCTATTGAATATTAAGCGCTATCAAACATTTCAAGTTTTTATTTATATAAAAATTATATATCCTTGAGTCATTATATTGGCCATATGACTTAAATAAAATATATGAATCAGTGGCGCTACAACCTTCACTAGGTCTGGGCCTCAGATTTCTGTAGCTGTTTTATGATCATTTGTCAATCTAATAGGCAAGTAGGTGATCAGCCTCCTGTGCTTGACAAACGCCGTCGACTTTTTGGGTCTAAGGCAAGCCGGTTTCCTCACGATGTTTTCCTTCACCGTTCGAGCGAATGTTAAATGCGCACATAGAATGAAACTCCATTGGTGCCGGGGGTCAAACCTACGCACTCTGGGCCAACACTGCTCTGATGACTTCAATATGCAAGAAATTACGAAGCTATATCTGAAACAACCCTAATACTTTCTAGGCAGGAGCACTATATGTAGCTCTGGCAGATGAATATCGGCCAGTGGAAAGAGTTACAGCGGGAAATATTGCTGTCGTTAGCGGTCTTAAGGTATTATTCATAAATTATTATAATAAAAGTCTTTATTTCAGATACATTAAAACACATTTATATTTCTATCATCCATTTATTCCTATATTATTAGTATTTGTGTGGCCTTTTTTGGCAAAAGCCTCTTCCAAAACCGCCTTTTTGCCTGCACTGTGCGTCTCTGCCACACTGCAACCTTAATCCGGTCTAACCACCCTCTAAATTATCTTTATCCATAAATAATTAAGATTAAAAACTAATGTATATAGCAAAATGTTTCTGCTGTTGTTTCTGTAGAAGAGGCCTTCTTTGAGCTGTAAATTTCATAAATAGTTTGGTATTATTCTGTTCAATAATACTTCTGAATTAGACAAGAGATATCTTCTACTTGACTGGTACTAAACTACGAGTACGTGGCGCTGAACTTACTTTAAAGATTTAGGTTAGATTTTCGTGTGCGTTTCTCTTGAAGATATACTTTTAATTTATTTATTTATTCACACTTCGTTACCTTTATACAATAACAAATAACATAATACATAAAAATTATAAGGGATGCAACGGATGGCCATATCGCTAACAAGCGATATCTTTCAGTCAACCATAGTCAGAGAAAAAACCTAAAAAAGAAATATGATGGGTAAAGTGCATGAAGTGCAACCAAATCTTATAAAAAATACCATTCAATTCTTCTGATATTCGATTCACCGTCTAGATATAGAATCAAAGAAGAATATGTGAATGACACCAACGGTTAATTTAATTCAGGCAACCATGACAGGCGATCTCGTAACATCCTCGAATGCAGCGGCTAGTCGGGCAAAGTCTAGACTTCGAGAAGTACTGAACGACCCTAAACAGACCGAGCAATTGTTGGTGCCCAGTGCTAGGCAACGACTACAGGCCATAGAAGATCCCTCGACTGATGATATAGCTGACGTGTTGCTGGGAATTGGTGAGATTCATTATTAGTTGTTTCGACTATGTGTTTGCGTGTTGTTCCCACGAGAATGTAAGTGCGTGCTCCTATTTCACCATGCCTCCTGCTGATAGAGGACAAGTCTTTGTTTTTAATTTATTTTATTATTATTAAATACTTAAGACGTCATTTGGAACATGGTGTAATGGTTGCAGCTCCTTACAAACGTTGTGTATAACAAAAAACTTGGCGATTAAAAAGAGTGGCGGAGAGTTTATTGCCAGTTCTTCTCTTCCGTTCTACGCCCTTGATTTGAGAACAAGTAAATGTAAAATTAGAATCATTTAATGTATATTTCTTTTTTTTTGACGTTCATAAGTGTACATTGTGTTACCTACACGAATAAATGATTTTTGACTTTGACTTTAAGGTATATATTGCTCTAAGTTTAGGAATACTCTAAGTTTTATTAAAATCTATAGAGTAGGTATTTTTTGAGATATGAGAACCACAAATTTACCCTTTTCGTTTGAGTGGGATTTGATGTCTGCTTATTTTTTTTAAATATCTTTTCTTCGCTAGGAACCACAATCCCAGAACCAGTTTTCCTCTGCTCAATAGAACCGCCGAGTGCGGCGTATCAAAGTTCGTTGGAGACGGCTTTAGAAGAGTTGCAGAGGGAAGACCCCAGTCTCCGTATCACCAGCGATGAGGAGACAGGTCAAATGGTCTTGGCCGGTGAGTCATATTGACTTGTCTTTCATTTCTTGATGGAATATTTTATAAAGTTATGTAGTTGGTCCGTGTATATGTTTTGTAAATACTAAACAAGACCTCGGAGTCTTGCTATTAATGTACGATTTCAAGGAATGATATTGCTGGTGGTAAATTTAAATGACTCTAGAAATTAAAAGTACTTGTTTATGAAGGACTAGGAAAGTACTTGTTGGCCTAGTGGCTTCAGCGTGCGACTCTCATCCCTGAGGTTGTAGGTTCGATCCCCGGCTGTGCACCAATGGATTTTCTTTCTATGTGCGCATTTAACATTCGCTTAAACAATGAATGAGAACATCGTGAGGAAACCGACTTGCCTGAGACCCAAAAAGTCGATGGCCTGTGTCAGGCACAGGAGGCTGAACACCTACTTGCCTATTAGATTGACAAATGATCATAAAACAGCTACAGAAATCTGAGGCCCAGACCTACAAAAGGTGGCAGGACAAACACAGTTCTGTGTCTGTTTTAAAACAGATTACGCGTAAGCAAGTTTAGGCACGAAGTTAGGCCTGAGAATTACACGCTTCCAATCGCATCCAATCTTAAAAAGGATTGCAAGGTTTTCCTTCTGTCATTAATTCTCCTCTAGAAATCCTTTTATTTCAGGTATGGGAGAATTACACCTGGAAATAATAAAGGAAAGGATAATTCGCGAGTACAAAATCGATGTGGAATTGGGCCCGCCCCAAATCGCCTATAAGGAGGCTTTAATCGGCTCTTCAAAGTTCACGGTCAACGTGGACCGAAAGATTGGCAGCGCGAGACAACAAGTCAAGATAACTCTTTCTGCTAAGACTGTTAAGGGTGTCTCGCAGGAGAAAATGTTGAGGTGAGTATTGTGAAGAGTTGAGCTTCTTCTTGCGTGCTTCTAGAAAATTCGATTCGTAAGGAATCCATTTTCTAATTTTGATTCCTTGACAGATGTTTTGTTTCAGGTTTGTTTTGGTTACCACTGGATTTAGAAAGACGATGTCACTTACATTTGCGAATAAATAGGTCATCATATTTTTAATAGGAACATTTTTACATGGATCTTCTTTTGGATTCATTTAACTTTTTGCTCTTGTAAAAAATATTGTTGAGTGCAGCCAGTTACTATTCAAAAATTTCGCCAACTTGCTTATTTTTTATATGGCAGCCATAAATGGCAGCAGCCGCAGCCCGTGGTCACCAATGTTAGTGGGAGCGTTGTCGGCCTTTGAGAGAGGAGAATGCTCCTTTTTCAAACTATGAAGGTTGTATCTTCCAGAAAAACCTCCACTGGAAGCCGATTTCACAGATCGCCAGTTTGCAAAATGCCTAGAGAAGTGGCCTGCGGAAGTTTTATTAAAATCCTTAAAAAATATTTATGATACTTTTAGGTTTGATAAAACAGCGGAAAGTGCAGCGAATCTATCCCACATCCACCCGCGGTACGAACAAGCGATACTTCGAGGGGTACACTCGGCTGTGCTGCATGGCCCCAAACTTGGCTGCCCGGTAACTATATAGCTGTTTTTCATATAGAGGATTTCCATATCCAGAAAATAACTTCAAAATTGTTTGTCTTTAGGTCTTTAAGCGATTTTTTTTTAAATTTTAACTCTGACAATGCTTTCAAATTCATATCTCGCTATCTTCAGGTAGACTCAAAACAGATTTACTGAAAGTATGGATGTATAATATAAACTTAACATAGTTAGGGATATTTAGACCCTTTTATATATTATATGTTTTGCAGCTAGTAGATGTCCAAGCGACGCTCCATTGGCTGGAAGTGGGCCGTGGAACAGCCGATACTGCCGTTTCTGCCGCCGCTGTACAGTGCTTACGAAAGGTAAAAAACAGGAAATTTTCCATCTTTTTCAAGGAAGAAACTAAACGTTGTAATTTTTCTTAATTATAGTTCAATCCAAATTTGCTTCTTCTATCTTCTTCTAGCCTTTATTTAAAAAATAATTCTAACCAAATTAATATCGATAAATGTAAAAATCAATTTGTACGTAGATATTCGAGTTGAGCGGCAGCATGCTCCTGGAGCCAGTGATGTCCCTCCAGATTGTGGTTCCCGAGAGCCATTCAGCTCGAGTGATGGCGGATTTGACCAGACGACGAGCCGATATTAACCACATACATATCAGACATGGAAATAAGGTTGGTTTAATATTATTCTTGTAACGTAGGGTAAAACGTAAATTTTCTTATAAAACACGAAATTCTAGAAGTAATAAATAACTAAATAATCGACTCTCTTTAAGCCGTTAATAAATACATTTTAATAACGTGAACGAAAGCTATTACGCGAAATATTTTAAATATTTTTTGAAGTGAAACTTTAGGTGCATGAGGGTAAATTGGAAAATCATGAGGAGAAGGGCGAATTACCTTATAGAAATTATATTTTTAAAATTAAAATTTCGTAAAGGGAATTTATGAAATATTAGTATTTTATATTTTATGCAAAATAATTTATTGAAATCTCGAATGACGAATTGTTAATTAAAATGCCACGTGTTTTTATTATCGAAGAAATAAATAAAAAAATTAAATTTATAATTTGTATTAATTTTCGACACTTAATATTATAATGACGATTAAATTTCTAACATATCTTCCGATTTTCCACTCTCTAAGTCTCGAAAATCTAAAGTTTGTATAAATATGAACAAGAATTAAAAATTATTTTTCCAAAAAAGTTTCACTTCTGACGTGTACTTTGTACGCACGCACTTTTTTTAAATCTTACCTGTCCACATCGTATCCCTAACTTTCGTAGTAACGATCTGAAATTACCGTGATTCATGTGCCCTTTGTTCCGATCACTGTTTATGTGTGTTTTGATTGCTTTGCTTTGTTCTATTAGTTTTATCTAAATAACTATATGTCTTAAGTGTTTTTGCACTTGCGCTGTCTTATTGTTTTTTCCCACCGTGTGGAAGTGATCGCTCGAAAGCGATAAGGCCGACAGTTGCCCTCTGTGTTATTAAATTATGTCAATTGTAATATATTTCTGTACATGCAACGAAGTGTGAATAAATACGTTTTTAGAGTATATGTAGCCTGTGGTCTTGCTATACAAGTTGTGTAGCATCTTCAGTTCAATAATGCGTTCAGGATGTTGATGGGGCTCCCTCGCTATTACCGTGGCCCTAATATCATGCTTACGGTAATAGCGGGGAGAGATTGCCCTGACATGGGACATTGCGACGTATGGGCCCTTTTTAATTTGATTGTTGAATATACTTTAAAGCTACTAATATAATATTTAGGACAATATTGTAACTAACACAACAATAAGCATAGGGACTTATGATTCTCTGCTTAAATTGATAAATTTATTTATTATTAATAATAAACACGCCTTTGAAATCAATAGATGGCGCTGAAAGTTTAACTTTTTTATTATTTTACTTTATCAATTCCGAGGTTTATGAATTCGAAATCAGTGTAAGTTTTATTATATTCTCAGGTCATTGACTGCTTAGCGCCACTGTCCGAGCTGGTGGGCTACTCCTCAACTCTTCGATCTCTGAGCTCGGGTCTCGCCACATTCACTATGGAGTTCCACTCCAACCGACAGATGTCGCAGTACGACGAGGAAAAGGCAATCACTTCCATCACTGGCTTTTAAAATTATTCGCAATAATTGTTACTTTTTTAATCGTTATTTATGTTTATTTAGGATTTATATTAGAATAGGCTATTCTTAAGATAAATAAAAAACATTACGACATGGCGGTTTCATTTCCCTTTTACTTCTTGCCATAATACCCTTAAAATTGATTATGACTGTATCATAGAAAAATCGTTAAAATGATTTAAAGCCGTACCTATAGGAAAAGGAAAGCCTCTGGCGTGGTAAAACTCTGAATTAATTAATATTCGTCCTTTATTAATACCCGAGCCGCTTATCAATTTACGAATTTCGTCATCAGCTATAAATTAGAGCTTCATTTCAATCGATATTTAAATGACTCCTTGCATTTACAATACATTGATAAAAGACCAAATCCAGTATCTTGCCCTTCATTCCTTAGTGAGTAAAGGCAACTTACTTCTGAGGAAGCTTCCTAAGAAACTACGAATGCGAACACCACGCTAAAGTAAGCCACCCTTGTAGATAACATTCATTCTAAAGTTCTTGATGATAATAATAATGTTCACTGGTTCATATATTATTTTGAGATGAGAGATTATCTTCTCAACACAGGTAAATAGTGAGGTGGTAAAAGTACTATTGCTACGGGCTACTCGATTGTGAGGAAAATGCATGGATCTGGTTAAGGCTGCGTCTTCTGAGTTCTTATGTAGTTTTCACACGTGTACAGTAATCCCCCATATAACGCGGTATACTCAGACCGGGTCTCGGAAATCGCATTGTAGTAAAACCGTTTGTTTAATAATTCAAGAACTAGGAAAAGTAAAGTTATTTAATTTTATAACAAAACAATTTAACCAGGTGCAAAGGTACGCAAACTAATTATGGACTTGAAAAATCATTATAAATTTCACACTACATAATTATAACTTGAGAAATCTCCGCGTTATAGGGGTGCAATACCGCGTTATATGGGAGACGAAATCACATTGATAACTGTATAATCATATTTTCATAAATGTTTGAGAGCATAGATAAAAAAACAAACAGTAAAAAATGATGATTTGATTATTAAAACGCTGTTATAAGTGAGCATTTATTTATTGTTTCTATCAAATTTATCACAAGAACATTGATTGCTTTCAATACAACATAACTATTTTTTTATTACAATGTTACATTATTTGAAAATGTACCAGGCTCGTATGAATTTTCATTCACTATTGGAGGTAATGTCACGTCATATGCACTTTAAACAGATTATCAAGTTCATCAATAAGTGTCTCGTGTCTATAAGCGAGGCGTAGATCCGGTATATTGGTGCGCGTTATGTCGTTGCCCTCGGGACCATCCCGTTGGTAATGGGGGCCCAGCCAATGTTGCTTCATCTGAAAAATAATGAATTAATGTGATTTGTTGGGTTGCATGTTAGGTAACTCTCTACACTTGTAATTTTAGCTTCTCTCTCTTCTTGGTTGCCGCCGGAGGTATCAAAAAAAAGTTCAATAAACTATTTTAATTAAATAAAACTTATAATTTAATTACAAAGGGTGGCAGGTCTAGGTTATATCTAACACTTCTAAGTACACTATTTGACACCAAGGAACCACTGGTTATTATTTCATATTTATTTAAAAAACAGAATAAACTATGCTAACTAAAATTTGTAGCCACGAAATTAAAGAAATTTAAATAATAATGTAAATTTTGTAACTTAATCTAACATTAGTTAAGTTACATATATATATATATATATATTATTAGAAGCACAACCAAATGTTGGCCATTATCGCACACTTGAAGCCATAATGAGCATATTAGTTTTTCCCCACACTATAATTTGTAATATAACATTTCCGTTTCCGAGAATGTCCAAAAAGATGTATATTGAAGTGTCACTTATATTTAAGAACCCTTAAATAAGCTAAGTTGATTTTTTAAGCGTTGCAACCCCACTACCCCTAATAGTTGTTATAAGCTCATGTTTTAAACAATTAAAGCCAGCTTCAAACAAAGTGTTTCATTTAACATTTATTTGAACATATCTACAACAACCGCCACCGAACTTAACTCACTGTTGATTTTAAATTATATCTTTTAACTAATTAGCATTCTGTCTCCATGAAGTAAATCCTGACCTCATGTGGGAACCCAGACATGATGACCGAGTTCCTGGCGAGCTCACACATGTCACAGGTGCTCAACTTCCAGGCTTGCGCTGCTACACTGTACTCCTCCATTAGAGCTTCCTGCAAACACGACTCTTACCTTATTACCACCGTATAATCGATTTAAGGTCCAAAAGTTACGTAGAACTATTGATGAAACGGATTTAATTTTCTCCAATAAAATAAAATAGCAATAATTCATTCGTTATCAGATAGGAAATTGTAATCAGTTTGAGAGCCTCTTTGAGAAAAAAAACCTCTGTGCCAGGTTTTTACCATTCCATGTACAAAAAACACGAAATAATATCAAATAACAATACTAATTTGTTCGGCAACGTACATTTAAAAAAAAAATGGTGCGTGTACTTATGTACGCGCGTAAGAAGTTATACTTCGTTGGCTTTCTTTATTTTTTTTAAATATAATTAATTAATATTTAACGTAAACAATTTAATAATATTTAGTATATTATTCAATTATTAATTAATATTAATAACAATTATTATTCTTATTTATTATTGTATTATATTATTCATTCAATTTAATAACTTGGTATGTTTCATAACCTTTTAACTAAGTAACAATAGGTCTTTGTGAAAAAACATTGCTAAATTTCTTTGAAAAAATAATTAAAACTCCTTTATTTGTTTAAAAGGTAAATGTCATTATGGTCATTCAAAATTCTTGGCATAGCTGCTAACTTCACGCATATTCTATTTCTTTTTACTTGTAGATTGTGTTATTCCCATCTCGCTCGCGCACGCTATAATCACACTGACAACTTTGTGCCTCAGGTGCGCGCGCATCGTAAAATTTCACTCTCATCAATTTTTCATAACGTGCCTAAAGAAGTATAACTTCAATAAATAGAGTATTTAACAAAAACCTTAGTATAATGAAACTGCAGGGGATCATCCGTGCTCAGCGTGACATTCAGTCCTCTCTCGAAGTATTCAGGCAATGGGTTACGGTGGTATCGGAGAAAGAGGGAATTGTTACTGAGAGGAGACATCGCTATATAGATCTGCGCCAAATAGTAGGCGTATTGCAGGACTGGTACCTGCAAATATTACATAATGTCTGCTCGTCCTTTGGCTGTCTCAAAATATCAACTATAAGCGAAGTCAATTGATATTAAATCGTTCTTAATACATAAAGATATCATTTAAAAAATAATCTTTTATACATTTTTATTGTTAAGTATACAAATATTGAGACAAATTTGGAGAAATTATAAAATAACGTGAATCCACACATGGGCGTATTCAAAAAATTGTCGAATAATCTTCAGTACCTTTCTCAGTATGAGACCGTGTGAAATATTCTCAGAAAGAAGAAACGCGGCGCTGAGATGTGAAGGAGGGCCTGCCTCGCCGCAGTGAGGGCGGAGGACGAAAGTGTTCAAGCCTCGCTCTCTGTAGGTATACAAAGGAGATTTTTTAAAAATAATAAATACTAAAAACTTTATTCATTACATAAATATGGTGGTGATAAAATTCATCTATCGCTTGTCCCCACACTAGGGAGCCCCTTTGTTGTGGGTTACTAGATTATAATTATTCCGTGGTACATGATGCATGATTAAAACATTTTTTTAAGAAAAAGTAGTCTTAGGCTATGTTCACATGTAAAGCGCGTTAACGCGCGTCAACGCGCGATCAAATTTGAAGAGAGTTCAGATGATGAGCGCTAATGCGCGTTGCGTCAGTCTAGTTCGGTAGAACGTAGAAAATGGACGTGGAAGAGGCTATTATTTTGTAGTTATATTATAAAGAAAAATATAGAAAAAGAAAACGTACACATTGGGTTCATCCAATTTTGAAAAATATACCCAGTTTGTTATAAATATAATTACGAAAATTAACAAAATTACATGCGATCGCGATGAAAGCGCGCGCTCAACTGAACAGCATACGGACATTACATTCATATCAAAGCGCGCGTCAACGCACGATCACCTGCGTCTAGAGACTTTTTCTCTGAGCGCCGCGTTGACGCGCGTTAACGCGCGCTCATGTGAACAGTTGTATGAAAATACCACAATGTCTAGTCGCGCGATTTGAAAACGCGCGTCAAGTTTTTGCCATCTGAACATAGCCTTAGTGTTACAACTAATCAAACACGAGTCGTAGAAGACATTAAGTATGTGTGAATATATGAGTATTCGAATGAGTGTGAGTTCGTATCTGTATTAGAATAGAATATTTTAAATATAAATTGATCCTTAGTTAGGGTTCTGTATAAAATTATGATAGGGTACGGAAACTATCGACAATAGAGCAAAGTATCACAGACATCAATATCAACAAAAAAATCTTTATGATTTTAAAGTCTATTTACCGAGAAAAGCTGTAGGATATACATCGTGCTACGACTGAAATCACAGCTTAGTAAATAAAAAGCGAATTACTTACTTCCTGAGCTGATTCAACGTCACCATATTAGCGTACATGTAGTAGAGGTAGTAGGCGTAAGGTGGGTTTTCCTCGTCGACCCATTCGTCTGGTCTGCGCATATTTTCACTAAGAATTGGATTTTCTGGCTTTGATTCATCGTCAACACTATCGAATCCAATAACATGCTGGAAATTAAGATACACTGTCATTCTAAACGCTTGCAATATATTGTATTGTTAATAATTTTGGGCTCGATTAGTACTCGTACAGAATTATAAAAACTCTTGAAAATTCTGTCTCCGAGGCAAATGTTTTTCTTCAAATAGTTTATGATTTTTTTATAAATGATAATAATAAGCTTCATCCAAATAAGTAAAAATACCAAGAAAATTATGTTACCGTGAGGAATTTGTGCAATTCTACATTGGAATGTGGGTCGATGGAGACTTGAAACAGAGGGTCAAACAAATTGTTGAGAAACTCCTGGAAGTTGTTGAGTAACTTGTTGATTCGGTAGATATCGCTAAAAACAATATTCATCAATTAAACCGGCATTTTGTCAAATTCATACATTTCACATTCATTCAGGAGGGTTCCTGAACGAGACAAAGCAATTTTTTAATCTAGTGTAACTGTACCTACAATGCCCTGGAATACAGTAAAGGACAGATTATAAGCAAAGACCGAGAAATGTTAACAAAAACTTTCGGAAAATATTCGCACTTTGGACCCTATAATTCTGATCAAATATGATGCAGTAATATCATACCACATAACAAATACCACCTCAAGAAAATTAGATAGAAGAAATAGAAGCGGTAGCAGAAAGCGAATGGAGAAAGAAAGCCATAAGTAGTCATTTGGAAAAAGCTGTAGGAGGCCTTAACCCGTGAAGGGGTTCTAACATCGACGGTACTGAAGGTAGCTAAGATATAGAAAATATAGGATAACAAGATAAATAAAATAATGTATAAAATGTAAAAAATCTAAGCTGTATATTATCTTTTTTGTCATGATTGGAAATTAAACTGGCTTTATTATTATTATTTATTATAAATATTTGGTTTTAATCCATTTGAAACTCACTAGAGCCGCGGCACCTGCACCAGCCATCTCACGTGCGCTGAGTGAACGTCGTTGTGCAGAGCCCAGGAAGCCAACTTGCTCCATTCCGACTTGCTCTTGCAGTAGATTGAAATCCGCGGCTCAGAATACGTGTATTTATTCTCTTCTAGGTCATTTATCACTTCCTGGAGCATTTAGCAGTTTTATTTTATTATTATATAAAGGAACGTTCAAAAACATCTACATTTTGAATACCTTAATAATCCTAGCGAAATAGGTTCCATTCATGTAGTTGTCCGTTTTGAGAAATACCTCCCTCAATCTGCTTTCGCCTACCGGATTGTATTTCGCATTGAATTTGTCGAAGCGATGAAATGTATTTCTATCCTATTAAAGGAAAACTACGTTATTAAATAAAAGACGGTCCCTAATCTCATATCAGGCTCACGTTGTCATATAGTTTATTTCTATATACTATTTTTTTCCTCCTTAATTGCTATTTATGAATTTAATTGTTTTTTGTTTATTCGCGAACGCTTGGAGTCTTTCGATACAAAAAATTGCCTCGGGATTTTTGTACTGCTATCGCGGGCGGTACTACTGGATTGCCAGGAAGTTTCATAGATCTGGTTGGCGCTGCGCCTGATTTGTATGCTTTCATCAATTTCACACTTGAATATCAAATTTCTTATTAATAAAATAAAATATGTTTTATTAACATACATCCTAAATATAGAGTGTAAAGAATTATTATTTATGCCTATTAACAACACGGCGTTCCTGAAATTTGTTCGAGAGCTACACTTAAGAACATTTAGGAAATATTTCAAACTCAATATTTCATACTGCGTGGACATCAAGTAGATCAATATTCAAATCATAATCATCCAGATTCATTTCTTCGAACACAGATTTCAGGGTCTTGGGCACTCCTCGTTGGACAGCCACCACTTCATCAGCACAGGTACGCATGGTGCGCTTGATGAAGCGGAGAAGGTGCTTCTGGTTCATACTGGATGCTGCGTGTATATGTGTATCCACTTTTCTAAAAGGGTATATTTAAGATAAATGGCTAATGCTCAAGAAGTGCCTCCGACATCACGCGTTTTAATGCGGTTAATAACCTAAGTATGTTTAAATATAAGTTTGTTTTAATATTAAAAAAATTGTTTTTGTTTAATTAAACGACCTAAAATATTATAAGCAGATAATTATCTGTATCTGTATCGTAGCCATTTATTTTTCAAATAGGCAAAAAGTAAATCAGCCTTCTGAGCCCCAAACACAACGTCGACTTTATGGGTCTAAGGCATGCCGGTTTCCTCACGATGTTCCGAGCGAGGGTTCGAATCTACAACCTCTGCAGTCGCACGCTGGTGCCACGGGGCCACGCACCTGCTCCTAGTTTTCATATGAACAAACCCTAAAATAGACGCATATTTTCGAAACACCAAAACGTTGTCGACGATTTTTACTTTGAGAAAGTCTATAATCGAAAAACTACCAAGTAAGCAAGTGTGAACTATAAAATCAATGGCTTTTATATAAGACGGGATGATTCTGTATAACACGATGAAACGAATGGTGCCATCAAGGAAAGAGGATACCTAATGTTGTAAAAGTCCCGATGAGGGACAGCTTTCTGCAGAGCAAGCTCATGAAGTTCATTGAGAAGGACGTGCATCTTGAATTTGGAGGACAGGTAGCTCAGTCGGCGGTAGCAGAAGGATTTACTGAAATTATTGTATCACATGAATCGATACTAGCATTGGCAATCATTAAACTAAACCTGTAAAACATTCTTATTTCTAATGAATTTAAAATGGTCACCAGTGGTAAAATGGTGAACAGTGTCTTCACCTTAGAGACTGTAATAAGTGTTATTGGACACTTTTTCATGTTAAATATTTTTTTAGTAATTTAGGTTAGAATTAAATTACTTATTAGTCTTAGGTTATAGATCGTAATGTTCCATGATGTCTTAGTAATGACATGGTACTAAAAAATCGAATGAATTAATCTAGAAACTAATGAAGCTATTTTAGAATACATCATCTATAGAAAGTTGCTATATATCTGCTATTTTTATGATAACACCAAGGTATATTGCTTATTAAAATTACCACCAAAAATTGGAGAAATTCTTATTTTTCGGTGTGAATTTTTTGTTCAAATAGATACTAAAAAACTCAAATTCATTACTAGGAAAGGATGTGTAGGGTGTTTTTTTTAACTATTGAACCCAAAGGTTTTATTTGATTAACAAAATAAGCTACCATTACAGATAACTCCCATGGGGTAAATATTTACATTTACATAACATACAAAACTATACATACACATAGAAAAAAAAACATTAAACAATAAAGATTAAAATATTTACAAAAAGACTAACTATTCCTTATAGAATAGTTAGTCTTTTTAGGAACTGACATAAAGCCAACTTTTTGACTCAACGGCCATTTAAAAACGTCTGTTTAAGCCCTATCCCAGCACGAATTGCTGTGTCAGTGTCTCGGGGTGGACTTCGAGGCGCAGTGGAGAGCTGGAGCACTGAGGCGCGCCGCCCTTAATAATAATTAGTTATGTAACACATTAAATTAATGTAGTTTTATCAATTTTTTTTCTTTAAACGATTACTGGGCTTGCGATAAAATATATCGTGTAAACTTCTAAATCATGTTCTACATACATTTTCGTCGTAAAATGAATTCAACGTGTCAAAAATTGGCTATGTTTGGATTTTTTTTTCTATCGAGCGAAGTTATTTAAATCGTGTATCGATCTTTCAAAATGGATACATAAACTACTCAACTCCACCATATATTTTTTCCATTCGCCCTACTTCAAGAAACAATGACGAAAAATAGAATGGACGAACAATGTACTTTTTTGGAGCTTGGCGACCAGATAGGTCCTTAATCTATGCAGTGTGCTGTTGAGGTGAGGTGTGTGGCTAATTTACTAATTTCTATATACCAATGGGCGACTGAGTATAATTAGAATTATAAATATACGTACAGAGGTCCATCGGCGATCATATCTGAGAGCCGACACAAATCCTCCACGTACTTCACGAAGCTGATGTTCCGATAGGGCAAGGGATTATGGACATTCATGTCACCTTCGGACCGATAAATTTGGACCACGCCTTTCTCCCAACGGTACTGGTATTTGCAGTCGGCCGGTGTAAAGCAAGTCCATGGATCTGTCGTTATTACATAATTTACGAGTCGTGGTCACTGAGTTATAGTCTTTAGAGAAAAAGAGAAGAGAAGAGATGAAAGTTATAGAACTATCTACTTGTACTACTATAAGAATACCTACAGAAGCAATTTTATTAGAGCGAGAAGACGATTTATTAAACCTGAAGTTCTAATAGTTCCTTCCAGGCCTTCTTGGCTATCGTAAGATTCTCGATTAGACCCAGCCTTTAGCGTCATTAGTGTACCGCTCATATATACTGTAATAATATAATAATAATGTAATGTAATTTTTTTCATCACATGACGCTATTGTACACAAGTTTGTCCTCGTTCTAAAATACAGATTAAAAATATAATGATTAACCTACTACGGTGTTCAGAGTGCGACGGGCTGGTTATTCTTAAAGGAATCGCATTGCACAACTCTTCCGATGAACACGTTGATAGTTTGATGTACTGGTCCGCTGTTGCATCTTGAATACAATTTAAGTAAACATTGACTGAATTACCACAAAATTTAATGTCTACAGGTGTACGTCTTGCAAATATCTTTTACATACTATCAAACTTGACAACAGCGCCGCCGTAATCGACCGACCCTTGTCTGTTAGGACCCCGGGGTGGTGCCTCATGATGGTCAAGGTAATACGCTAGACCCGACGGAAATGACTGATGGGATACGTCCATGTAGCAGCGGCGAAGGTTTAAAGCATCAACTAGCATCTCCGCCGAACGCACCAACTCATCGAACGGTACCTTGACAAAAACTCCCAATGAAAACTTCTTGTATTTCAATATTTAGCATATTCAATTCAGTTGCATACCCCAGTTACATGTATTCCGCAGACAGATACACGTTGATAAGGCACCATATTCCTCCCGCGCCCGTCTCCGGGCCCGCGGACTAGAAGCCGGGCAGACGCCATATTGTTGTGATGCGCATTGCTATTAAAAGGCGGCAAATTTCGACAACTATTATTATAAATCCACTGCAACTTGGAGCAACTGAGTAAGTGTCTTCGTAAAATGGATATAGGTAGTGTAATATAGGTATAGAATACATATAAATAATAAAAAATCTTACAAAAACATTATTTAGAACATTTTTTTACTTACGACTGTGACGCCTTCAAGTGTTTGAAGTCTTGATTGTTTCCAAACATTTTGTTCTTATTTCCAGATCATTTTTCGTTGTTAATTATTATTATATGAATCCCATATTGTTATAAATTATACGGATGATTTGAGACGTCAGATTGCCCAATAGACTTTATTTTTGGAGGTAAAGTTAAAAACCGAAGAGGTTGCCTAGCATTTTATTTTAATTATTTCTTATCTGTGGTATATAAGAATTATATATTAGAGAACACGATGAGCGCATGATAAACTTCGAGCGTGAATATATTTAAAAGTTCTCTAAACTATGCTTACTCAGAGGTTCTGCTATATGAAATTACTTTTTTGACAAAACGTATATTTAAATAATTATATTATAGAATAATTTTTAGAGTCAAATAAGTTGATTAACAATTAAAGACACTAATACATTTTTAATCCATTTATTAAATAAAAAATAATATCGTAATAGAAAATTACACAACGTACATTTTATAAAACCCAAATAAAAAATGCCATTCTAAACATAGTTAATATTAATTTCCAGTTTATTTCTGCTTTGGCTACGTCACTCAAGCGTCGCTTGAGGTCGTCAACTGGAACGTTTATTTCAAGAGGCGGAAGTGGAAGGTTCTGGAACTCCATTGGGCTCGTGGAAAGCCTGCCTCGCCTGGAAAATTCCGTACATAATAAAATCTAGCTTATATATACAGTGTAGTCTACGGCAAATGAGTTGGGCAGTGTAATTCGATGCGCAAGTCGTTTTAAAAGCAAACTTTCCATCGTCACGCAAAATCTGGCCAACTTATGTGCTGAAACTACTACTGATACAAATAAGGCGAACTTGAAGTTAAATATGATGGCAATGAGGAGTAGGTTATACAAAGTACGTAGTAGTTTATAAGCTTAATAAGATTTGTAAAATGCCATATTCAGTTTAATGAATAATAAATTGTTATTTACCTGTTAACACAGCACAGACACAGAAAATTGAAATCGTACATCAATCTATTTCGCCATAAAGAAATATTTATGATGCATTCTAAACAGGTAAAACATGTGTTTTAGTCAGGAATATGCTCGAAGTTAGGCGGCCTTACAATATAAAACGTGGACTAAAGACTTTCTTTATAGAACAGGGGGTAAACGGGCAGGAGGCTCATCTGATGTTAAGTTATACCGCCCACGGACACTCTCAATGCCAGAGGGCTTACGAGTGCGTTGCCGGCCTTTTAGAAATTGGTACACTTATTTCTTGAAGGACCTTAAGTCAAAAAAATACTACTGTTACCATGGCTTCGATGTATTCAGTGTCATAATGGTAACCATGGTAACAGATATGGTTTATCTTTAGTCCACGTCGTATTGAAATGCCGATAATGTATTGTATGATTAGAGTTGACCGTTATCTAGACGATGTGTTTAACAATATCATGCCTTTAGCGGGAGAATGCCTAATTTTAATTATTAATAATTCCAACCATTCTAAGGTATATATGTAAAAGTTAGGACATTGGGTAACTCAGCATTCTCTGATGACTACCTTAACAAGGGATTGGTGTCCCACTCCGCTTTATCTAAAGCATAGAATATACAGTTATTTATTATCTTATAAAATTTCCTAAGTGATGCACATTTTTTTTATTCTTTTACTATTTAATGATTATTTTAAAAGGCTAAATTTTATCAGTCTAGATTTTAGGCTTTAAATTTTTCGTGGGAAAATTCGAGGGAAATCGTCCACATCAAAAGCGGGCAATGTGGAAACCAGAGTGGAGCTAAGTTCTGGGAGGTTATCTCGGATGAACATGGAATCGACCCAACCGGAGCTTATCAAAGCGACTCCGATCTACAGCTCCAGTGAACTCTATGAAGCCTCAGATGGCAAATCCGTGCCGCAGGCTGTGCTCGTTGATCTCGAACCCGGGACCATAGACCATTTTTAGTTATTTTGAGTTAAATATATTGTATTTTTAGCTTAATTTTTTTATTTAGGTATTTATAAATAACACTGAATTCCTTGGTAAAAACACGTTTAGTTTATTTAATCAAAATAGTAGATATATAATAGCAATTTTATTTCCAACAACATGGTAACATTGATTTCATTAATATAAATTGTATAATCCTGTACGAAATTGATTATTTATACAATAAAATCATCTACATAATAAGTACTAAGGTAATATATTATGTGAACAATAAATGTTAAAAAACTTCAAGCAAAATTTTAGTTTACTTAGATTGCATGTTAGAATTGTTGGTTTGAAAAAAAATCTATAAGAAATTTAAAAAAAATTAACCTATTTGGACTTACTATGATAGAAAAACTACAAGTAATGTTGTGTACTTACTGAAAACACATTTCTATTGCCGAGACATAAAGTTGATTTTAATATAATCAGATATGTCTCAGCACATAAAAACAATGTCTGTTATAAAGATTTTTTGGAGAAAATATAGCTAAGACATTATAATTAGTCAACGCAATGTTCGTAAAATCATGCAATACAAACAACAACATAAGCTTCTTAGACACACATTAGCACATTTAAAACAAACATATAATGACTTTTTGAACTTAAAAAAATAGTTTATATTATTTACTCTATGGTCAGCGGGAGACTGCAACAAGTTGTTAAACTTAAGCTATAACTATAGCCCATATATAGACGCTACATATATACGTTTATAGTATATAGTTTTATATATGACTACAATAGATTACATCTAATAACCAAAGGCAAAATTTGACAAATATTCAATTAGATATAGTATCACTAAAAGGGACCAAATATTTTTATTCGAGGATTACAATTTTTGACTAACCTCCTAAAAATATTCCTACTCTCTGCAACACTTGTTACAAGGTCCATTTAGATTCTTGAATGTTTAAATAATTATTTTAGACATTTTGTATTGGTTAATTTTAATACAACTAACCAGTAAAAAATGTTTTATAATGATTAAATATGAATTGATTTCAGCAGCAATTCGCACCTAATTATCACATCAGTATCATGATACATCACCCAAAAAGCAAATGATTCTTAACCCATGAATATACAAGCATATGTTAGACAATGAAATTAACAATGATTAAAATACAATTAAGTGGAAGTGTGGATTAGATGAAATATATAATATATCCAAAATTATAGAAGTTATAAGAAGAAAATATACATTAATAAAGAGCAGGAGATCAATGGTTTATGATTTTTAACTTAAAAAAATAACTAACCACAATAAATGAGCAATCATTCAAATGAATTAAATGTACCTACAAATAGCAGTTTTTTATGTCATATTAAAAAAAATATTGCAATCGCGTAAACCATTGTTTTGGAATGCAAAAGAAAAGGAGAAAAATATCTTTGATTAGTAATTGGTGCAATATTTCAACAAAACAAAATGATTCTTTTTTATGGTCTTATAAAGTTTATTTTTAATCTACTGCTCTTTATACATTAAACAAAATGATATCAAAAGCAGTCCCATCCAGTTTCAGCGAGTCGACATCCCGTCCTGTAACGGTATTTCTCAGATGCAAATAGATGACAAGAATTAAGGTTAAAACTAAATCGTGAGCACACACACATAGACAATTACCACATTACAAAAAGCTATAGTTTTTAATGTATGATATTGTTATCTGATAGAGAACGCCGTAAATCTCTTAAATTGTTTTTCAATATTAATTATACGTTTTACTCAGAACTGGCTTAAATACTCTGCTTCATGTGTGAAAATAAGAGAAGCAAAAAGCACAGATCGGCCGACTAGAGTATTTGCTTAATAAAGCCCGGATAATTTGATTATTTAAATATTATGTGTTGTATCACAGTACAGTGGAGAAATTTTCTAATATTCCATTTATCAATTATACTCAATACTCGGAAGTATAATGCGTGTAAGTCTTTGTGTTTGTGTGTGTGTGTGGATATAAGTTAAATCGTAATATATTATTATTAAATTAAATAGAAGACAAACCCGTTAAACGTAAAAAATTAAGACCCTCAATTTTCAAGTAATGCCAAAATGAAATATTGGTTTAGATCATTTATTTTATTATTTATGCGTTTGCTATCTAGTAACTGTTAAGTTGGAAAATATTAAAAAATCTAAAATTGTCTTACCTTGAATATATTGGTTAGTTCGTCGAGTATAGTCTCATATCGGAAGGAGATACGTATATCCGGTACGTTAGTGCGAGTTATATCGTTTGCGGCCACACCCTCCTTCGTGTAGGTGGGACCGAGCCAGTATTGTTTCATCTGCAAGATAAGGAGATTTCTCTGTCAAACTATTCGTTTGTTTTTATATTACAGGGGGCAAACGAGTCTACGAGACGCTCAAAAAGGGCAGACATCGCAGCCATTTTAGTGGGTGCGTTGCCGGCCTCTGAGGGAGGAGTATTTTCTTTCTTACAATTGGAGGTCGTATCTCCCAGGGAAGACCACCACCGGGATTCGATTCTTCATGTCGCTAGTTCGCAAAAGAAAGTGTCTTGTGAACCGGACAGTGGAGGACTTCCAGCCATTCGAATTATTTGCAATTGACTAGTTTATAAAAAATACATATTTAATAAACTATAGTAAATTCCATAAATAATAGAAGTACCTCGTGTGGGAAGCCCGACATGAGCACCGAGTTCCGTGCGAGCTCACACATGTCACACGAGCTGAGCTTCCACACCTGCGCCGCAATGCTGTATTCCTCCATTAGGGGCTCCTGGAATATTATGGAACCTTTGAGAAATAGTTCAAACAACAGAGTAAAGACGCAATAAAAACCCACGATAATTCAATTATCAAAGTAAAAATCATATTCTTCCAGTTTCAGTTAGTACAGACCTTATTTCATTTTTTGTTTATTAATACAAGCCGGCTCTTTTATCTCTGCCTTTTAATAAATTTAAGAAATGTACTTAAAGACTTAAGAGCTGTGTAAAAAGTTTTACTATAAAGTTAACGAATATAAGTTGATAAAAGGGCCTGGGACTAGTGCTAGACAGGCTACTTCTAATTAATTTGCGATAATTTGTTTTAAAATAATTAATAAGTGTTGTTTGATGATTTGCTATTTTAAAAGAGTATGGAGAGTTTTTTACGCCGGCTTCTTCTCTAAAAAATCTACGGGAGCCCTTACCTTGGTGAAGTGGAACTGCAGCGGGTCATCAGTACTGAGTGTGATGCAAAGACCTCGTGCCAGGAACTCCGGAAGCGGATTGCGATGGTAATTGAGAAAGAGGGAGTTGTTACTCAGAGGTGACATTGCGATGTAGATCTGGGCTAAGTAGTACAGGTATTGCAGGACTGGCACCTGCCAATATAAACAAACATTGGCATTTCAAGACTCGATATTCTTATGAAGTTTCTATTCGAACTACGAAAGAGTTTTGAAGTTAAGATTTTTGTTCTGCGAATTTTTCATATCGCTTGCCTCGGGAACAAAGTCGTATACCACTATTACGACTGTTACACTAAATACATAACAACATTAATGTCTAAATCGTATATTACGAAAAATTCAACTTAATTTATCCTGATAAAAATAGATTTTGCTATTACGACTTAGTTTCTCGGGGCAAGCCCGTTGCTTAATAACTTATGTAACCTGCTTTTTTCATACGTATGTTTTTGTATAAGGTAACGAAGTGTAAACAAATAAATAACTGTCACTTCAAGATTGGTAAGCGCGTACCTTCCTCAAAAGCAATCCGTGCGAGATGTTCTCAGCAAGCATGAACCCACATACGAGATGTTGTACTGGACCGGCTTCACCACAGTGCGGTCGTAACACAAATGTGTTTAGACCTTGTTCCCTGGATTAAAAATAAAGATTAAAAATTAATTTTATATATTTATAGAACTATAGCGACACGAACAATCACTGCGATGACATCATACTGTGAAACGCGCTATGTTATTCCGACATTAGCCACTGGTGCTATCGGGTCAGATAACTACTGACTCGACAGCCCCTGATCGAGGGATCCTTTATGTCGAAGAAGGAGCATACATCATTTCTCCACTGAACTCGACGCGTTTAATAAGAATAAGATTTGTACTAAATTATTTTAAGTGGGTGTTAAATTAATAATAATACGCATACGAAGGTATTTTTGTCTCTCGACGAAACTATAATTGTCTAAATTGTTAAACACATAACTACTATAGGAAAACTAGAGGAGATATATGTAATAGTCCCACAAAATATAATTGTATGTGTACGATTCCTGGGTCTGCGGGATGCTTTAAACTCAAGTATAATAGAAGAATAATGCTAATTAATGTGAAATTTAAAAGTAAATGAAAATGAAGAGAGCGCCTGATTCTGGCTATACTCTTATAAAATTAAGATAACCAGAGTGAGCAAAATGTACAGCCTTGGATTGTACAATACCTAAACCTAGAAATAAATTAAAAAAACACTTACTTCCTAAAGTGATTCAGCACGGTGATATTAGCGTACATATAGTAAAGGTAGTAGGCGTAGGGCGGGTTCTCCTCGTCGTCCCACTGCGCGGGTACACGGACGTCCACGTCCAACATCGGATTTTCCGGTTTCGATTCATCGTCCACGCTATCGAATCCGACTACGTGCTGTAAAATATTAATCAATTATTGTTGTATAATCATTTTATTAATATCTACCATGAAATTTTAATCTGTGAGACAATAGCTATCAAAGTAATACAAGCTCTATCAATGTTAATCTATAACTATAATAAATCAGAATCCACTTATCGTTAAATAATCATCAAATTTACAAATTATCTGTTATATGATATTCTATGTTTACGTGACATTTCTTACACAATCTCTCTATTATTCTCCAAACTATTCAATTAGTAACTCACAATTATTCTGGCGTTTTAAAATATATTGGAAAAGTTAAAAAAGATTTTCAAAATATAGAAAAACTCATTCATGGTTACGTGACAGAACTAGGCAATGAATAAAAAATAAAAATAAATATTTACCGTAAGAAATTTGTGAAGCTCAATATTGCTATTGGGATCTTTGGTCACTTCAAAGAGAGGCTCGAAAATGTTACTCAAGAATTCTTGGAAGTTGTTCATGATCTTGTTTGATTTGAAAATATCACTGAAAAATTGAAAAACAATAAAAAAATTACAACTTTTAGGGTTTAGTTTAAAATTAATATAAGTCAAAATACCTTCTAATTATGATTATAAAAATTTTTGGGGGACTAACCCCATTTTGTAGCAGAAACCTATATAAAGCGTGCAAAAGGTTAACTCACTTCGGGGGCTTGGGGGGGAAGGGGTTTTTTAAAAAACCAACCCTGGGGAATTTTTAAAGTCTGAAGTACCTACACCTTCTTATTATGATTATAATACCTTATGAACCTTTTCAAAAAGGAAAGTTTTGAAATCCTTAAGGGATTTACTACTAAAACTCGAACAGTCCAATTACTTTTTCGACAAAAGAAATTTTATGTCTCTATCTCAGCGTAGTACAATTTGACGGAAATACAATATATTATTTTGATAGAAATTAAATTAGTAAACAAATACTTACTATAACCGTGGTATTTGTATCAGCCAGCGAACATTATTGGAGTGTACGTCATACTGTATCGCCCATTTGGCCAACTTGGCCCATTCTGTGGGACTCTTCCCGTATATGGACAGACGGAGCTCTGCATTCTGGTATTTACTCTCTTCTAAGTCTGCTGCTACTTCCTAATAAATTTATTTAAAAAATACTAAATGTTAAAACATATTCAATGAACATAGGAATTTAGGGCTAAGGTAAGCGTTTGATAGAGTAAAGCATGTGTATCATACCAGTTGATATCTTTTTATTTTTACATATTTTTAGTCTGTAAATAATTTTCTACTATACTAGATATTTACTAACGTACTTCGCATACAATCCGAAGGTGTTGTGCTCGATTCCGGGTAAAATAATATTTTTAACAAGACAATTTGGAATGGGAGTATTTCAAGGAGCTATTCTGTGACTTTAATGTTTTCGTTAGGCTCATTATAAAATTAATTGTTTTATGCAAATATTTAAATGTTACTTACGTTAATTATCCTAGCGAAATATTTTCCATTCATGAAATTGTCAGTTTTGAGGAAGACTTCTCTAAGTCTACTTTCTCCGATAGGATTGTATTTGGCGTTGAACTTGTCAAATCGGTGAAACGTGTTGCGGTCCTGTACAAAGCAAAAACATACAATTATTATTATTTAAAATGTTTCATTAAAATTAAGAATATCATTAATCAAGATTGCCTGTTTACCATCAAGTAGGTAATACTATATTTATATATGATTTACTCACTGCGTGTACGTCGAGCATGTCGACGGTAAGATCGTATGTGCTAAGATTCATTGATTGGAAAACAGCCTTTAAGGTCATCGGGGTGCCTTTGTGGAGTGTCACCACCTAGGAAATAATACAATTATTTTTCTATTTAAGAAGTAAAAGCAAAATTTCCACCACATTATCAAATAATTTGATTAAAATGACGATACATAAATTGTATGATGATGATGCTTACCTCGTCAGCATGATTTTTCAGCGTCTTTTTAATAAATCGAAGTAAGTGCTTCTGATTCATACACGATGCCGCGTGTATGTGTGTGTCTACTTTGCTGAAAATACAAGGTATTTTATTAAATTATGGGATAGTACATTTTTATTACTTCAACAACTGTTAGAAGAACCGGCTATAACATGAATATAGAAATTTTAAACAAATCTCATAGAAAATTCTTTACAAAAATATATGTAATTATTCTTACCGAATATTGTAAAAGTCCCGGTGCGGAACGGCCTTTTGTGACGCGAGTTCACGTAACTCATTGAGAAGTACGTGTAACTGGAACTTGGATGATAGGTAACTCAGGCGACGGTAGCAGAAAGATTTCCTAAAATAAATATTTTTAAGGAATAGTACTGGCTTATAACAAAGCATATTATTTTTTTAACTTGGATTAAATTTTACTAAAGATAAAAATAACTTACAATGGTCCATCAGCGATCATCGTGCACATGACATTCATGTCCTGTATATACTGGGTCAGGGTGACGTACTCGTACGGCACTCTGTCTTTGCACTCCTCGTCTCTGTACAGATTGAAGACTCCGCCATCCGACTTGATTTTATAGTTTTTAGGTTCCGGCATTGGACATTCCCACGGGTCTTTGTTGTCTTTGAATGGGGGGTGGACTATGTGATCTGAAATTTAATTCTTGTTTAAGGTACAGGATTCTTACAGGGACTAGGTATAAGTGACTAAAGCATGTCCAACAAAACGACATCAGCGCCATGCGTATACCTATTTATATCTGGCCTGACATGGCTAAAATAGGAGATTTTTGGAGACTATTTCCCACATAATAAGAACATTGAACAATTTTCGATCTTTAATCAGCTTTATACTACGATAACAAAGAGTGTGATGATTTATGATACAAATCTATTCTTGGAGGCTTATCTCTGTAGGCATATCAACGAGAACCTACCAAAAAGACACTAGCCGAATAATATACACCGGCACTTGAGTCGCGCTTTTGGCTTTTGAGGACAGGGGCAAACGGGCAAAAAGCTGTTGATGTTAAGTGATACCGACATAGACACTCAATGCCAGAGGGCTCGCAAGTGCGTTGCCGACCTTTTATGAATTGGTACGCTCTTTTCTTAAAATCGACCCTAAGTCGCATTGGTTCGGAAATACGTCAGTGGACAGGTGGTTCCACATAGCGGTGGTGCAGTTTGGGCTAATTTAACGCGTTTAACTTGGAAACAATAGTATGTAAATGAACTGGTTAAACAATCTGAATAGAGTCAAACTTACCAGCTATATGTCTTTGAGGTGCTTTAACAATCGGCGTATGGTTGGCTTCCGCTTCTGGGTCTATTGATCTAAGGAATCGAGCCGTGATGCTGCAGAAGGTCTGGTTGGAGATATCCATGTATCGCTTGCGGATGTCTAAAGCTTGCACCAGATAAGAGGAGGCTTGCTGCAAGTCTTCTAGCGGGACCTAGATAAAAAACCATTATCATAAACCCCTCTTTATTTCTAAACGTACTATAAGCCTACCATAGCTATTGAATGGTTTTTTCTCTCGCTGTCGTGTCATTTTGTATATGGATGTTGAAAAAGCCATGGGTGCTCTACTGAACTTAGAAAGTGACGATGAGAGGCGGACATCCTCCATATTTCCTATCAACGTGGAAGCCTTTGGTGGGGTTTTATAAAATAAATAGTAGGTGTCAACTACTTTTAAAATGGCAATGTTTGTCAACAGAAATCTCACCCCGGAGGTATCTTCTCCGCTGATGGCCACTCGTTGAAAGTGAGGAAGTATGACGTCCAAGTCATCATCATCAGCTCTTAGACGGGCGGCTTCTTCAAACACCGCTCCGCCAGCCTCGCTACCCGCGAACGAGCGAGCTGACTGCCCACATTCTGCAGCCCTAAAATAAAAATATTTACGGCTTAGTTTAGTATGGTTGGGGTTATTTATTTAGCTTCAAGTCAAGAAAGAAACGAAGACGAATTCAACGAAAATTTTGCATATTCTTCTGAAATCTTAACCTCCCAATGTGGTATGGGCAGATTATTAAGCAGTTTCTGTACCGTTTTCATTTTTATAGGCAAGTAAATTACAACCTACTGTAAATTTTTTGGCCTAACGAAAAGCAGTATCTTAATGATGCTTTCCTTTACCGAACGAGGAAGTTTTAGTACATAGAAATTTATTAGTGTCAGCCAAGGTTCATTCTTGATCATAGTAGTGGTTACCAACACTGCTCTTATATTATTCTACCTACTAAAGCCAAAATTTTCCTATACTCCCGAACACGAAGTCCTAAAGTGCTCTATAAATTACGTATTTGTGTACCTATTTAGAACGCTTAGACACAACATGAATTTTAATCCAATTAAAAGCACAACTGTTGCTCTCAGTCATACTGGTGTATTATAGATTAAATTGTCTGAGATGCCCTGAATATCTTTACCGGCAGTTTAATCACCGTATTACAAGACAGGCGTCACCTTATTATAGTTAACACATATCAATATTGACTTAAATATAACGAAATAGAAATGATCACTGCCCGAGTTTCCTTCGATTTTATTTTTGATACGTCCTTGTCAGGTTAATGTATCTACACTAAACCATCATTAATTAGGTAGACATATTCCTTTAGTTGGAAACTCTGTATTATAGATCTCTTCTCCAAAAAATCTGTTAAATTAATGCAACATAATACCGATTGTGTCTTATCCATTTTTGACAATCGACTTTGCTTCCAAACATCGCGAAATCACTACGCACACCACTATTTCGACAACTCGTCCATATTTTAAAAAAAATAACACACTACAATAAAAATCACACTCCCACCAAATTCCTAGTTTACAGTTTGTATAAATTCAGTCGAAAGAACTTAGCCGGCACTAAGGGGCGAATAAAAAAAACTCCTGTATTACAGGGCGCGAGTCAAAGAATAACGGTGCGTTCGGAAATGCAATGACGAATGGCGTACGGTAAGGGTTGTCGCGCCAAGGTTAATCCAATTACAAGCTAATAACATCTGACAGACGCGTGGACATAACATTCTTTCTATGAATTTTACACCAATTCAAAGTTTTATTTGACTATCACTCTCGTGTCTACAAATTATTCCAAAGTCGCAAGAAAAAGCATTTTTTCCTATGATTTTTTTATCGCCGTTATTTACCAAAATTATTATTTTTTAGTAGAAAAATCAGTAGTATTGGTCAGAATAATCTCACTAACATAACATATCTATATAACTTACTTGACATTGAGCTGACGCTGTATTAGCAGCTTCTTCTCAATCTGTTCAATAGGGAACTGTGGGACCTCGTAGGGCGCCGACAATTCATTTGGAAGCTCCCGGGGTGCCTCCGCCCCTACTGCACTTGTTGGGCTCTCACTACCTATAATAACAGACAAATCTTAAATTGTGATCTACTGAGCTATATTAAAGCATTCTCTGTAACATCTGTGGTATGATTTAATATATCTATCAACTTTTCAAAATCTAATTCTAGTTCGGGCATTTAAGAGCACGGCGCGCGGGTCCTTACTTTGTTGAGCCCGGCGTTATTTATTATCATAATATATACAACTGCTCTTATAAAAATTGTTAAATGGTCATCAGAACAGTGACCTCTAACAGAACATTAACATTGTCGTCCCTTCTTCATTGCCAAGGTTAAAAAAAAAACAAATTCCGTCTGGATTTACCACTACTTATCTAGAGCTTGACATATTCGGTAGTGTGCTGATCAATTTAAAAAGAAAGAATTGTTAAGTCATAAGTGCCTATCTGATAACTAATCCGCTTTTTGCTAGTGATTTTTTGTAAAAAATTACTAGTTTTTTTTGTTATTGTAATTTTAATTTTTTGTAACATTTATGGTTACCATAATTGTCATATGTTTTAGAAAAGATAGCTTTAAACATATACTGTAGATATAGCATTATGTAAGATTTGGTGAACTTTAATAAATAAATAACAAGTTATATGCAATAATTAAACAGTTTGGTAAAATCTTTTCGTTAAAAGAACAGGCTTTTAATAGACCAGTAAATTTATTTAGACAACGTAATAATAACAAACAGTCGAACATTGCGGATTTAATACAACCATAAAAAGATTATCCATAGCTTACTTAATTTAATTAAGAATATCAAGGTTTTTTATTTTGCTTCACATTTACAATGTAACTTTGGAATATCTAAATACATAGTTACATAAATACTTTAGGTCGACTTTCCAGGACTTAAAATTAATTCTATATGAAACAAGAATATAATAGTAACCAATAAACAAGCAAAAAACATTTTTTTATAAAATTTTGATTTGAAACAGACATAATTTTAAATTTTTAAACGACTTTAAAATCTTCTTAAAACCTATATTTATATAAGAAAAAACAAACGTAGATATTATTTACATTTTTCAACTAAAAAATAAAGCTATAGAAAACATTTAAAACAGCTGATCGCAATACGGGTCACAAGTACAGAATGCCAAGGCCCAAGGCCGGCTTGAATTTGTGATGCGTCATCTCCACGAGTAAGCTTTTAGGTCGTTCTCGTTGCCTTTTAATAGTTGAAGCCGAGAATTAAATTTTTACACTAAAGATTTTTTTTGCATGAATGTTTGCGTGTTTTTCCCACGAGAATGTAAGTGCGTGCTCCTATTTCACCATGCCTCCTGCTGATATAGGACAAATCTTTGTTTTTAATTTATTTTATTATTATTAACTACTTAAGATGTCATGTGGAACATGGTGTAATGGTTGCAGCTCCTTACAAACGTTGTGTAAACAAGAACTTGGCGAGTAAAAAGAGTGGCGGAGAATTTATTGCCAGTTCTTCTCTTCCGTTCTACGCCATTGATTTGAGAACTGGCAGTAAATGTAAAATTAGAAGCATTACATATATATTTCTTTTTTGACGTTGAAGTGTACATTGTGTTACCTATATGAATAAATGATTTTTGAATTTGAATTTGCTTAAAACATACTGATAAGCTACGTATGCGATGTTAAATTATCGTATAGTTGCAATAGGCTACACAAAGTCGCAGACGAACTAAAAAGAAATAATGTTCAACAATAGGTTAAGAGGCATCTTTCTGGAATTTGCTGTAAAAAGTTGTTAAAAGAAATAGGTACCAATACCATTTACTTAAGTTGTATATATACTTAAGTTATTTAATACCTCCGATGACATAGTCGGGGAATTAACTTGATATTGTATATTTTTTTTAAATAAGCTGCACAATTGCGTGTAAAATTAGATATAGTCGCCGCTAGTATCTAAGATCTAAACTGCTTAACAGATTTAAATGCTACATTAGCTGGTTCTTAAACAGCACACAGGTACTAAGTTCTTTGCATTGGGATTTGGGAGGGATTATTTTTTTATCAACGTCCTGCTATTGTATTTCCAATTATTAACCTAAGTACCGATACTTTTAAAGTTGTTGAAATACTTGGAGCTGTTAATCGCAAAGCAAAATTTGCAAAATGTGAATACAAATCTAGGTTATTATATTAAAGATCTCGGTCGGAGCAAGTTCACGGCCACCTCCATTAGAATTCATTCAATGTTTCCGCTAATGGATAATTCCGGTTTCACTAGGTACTTATCAACGCAAAATAACTGCATTGCTTTTGAATGATTTTACCATTCCAATCACTTTCCGTTTAAACCATATCTCTAAAATAGCGCACAAACGTCAACAATAATTTCATAAACTATATTTTATAAGCTATAATAGATTTCTCTCTGATTTTTCACTCTTTAGAAGAGACATTCGAAATCGTTCGACTCGAATTGACTACCAAGCAAACATGTCGATAGCACTCCCTTAAGCATAACAATATACATAATGTTACGTCATAACAAATTACAGGGTAATTACAAATCTGATAGAAAAATAACCTACATAGTGTTACAGGTTATTCTTGTAAATAAAACAAAATTAGCAGGATATTTCTAAAAGGAACCACAATCAAGTTATCTAGCACAATACAATAACTCAAATATACTAAACTAAATCTTATAATTAACTTATCACACGTAATTTGACGATATTGCCCAAAGCTAAAAAAACATTTCTATAAAAATAGCTTCACAACAAAATAAAACTAAACCTTAAAATAATAATTAAAGAAAACTCACAAAGTAACAACAAAAATCCAAAATTTCACATTTATGACTCAAATGCGATTTAAAATCGATATTGATAAATATATAAAAATAAATAAAAAATTTAACAAAACTTAAAAAGTTTGGTCCTGTGGCAGTGTACCTTTATAGCAATATTTATTCTTTGAATGAGTAAGCACCAGCTCTGGGGTCACCGATACTATTCAAGTGCTTGAACCCCACTGCCCAAGAGTTTCTACTCCAAAGGGAACAAAATCAAAGTTGGCATAATTAAATCATTCGTATTTTATTGTAGAAGAATGGAAAATGAAGTGACATTTTAAACATGTTTTCCTGTGCCCAGAAGGTAACAACCGTATGCTTTCTGGACCTCGGAATTTAGGAGTCTATCTAGCGTCACGTGACTGGTATATTCAGTCACGTGGATAAGGAAGAATAATAGAAACAGACAATATCATCCAGTACCACTTCCCCTCGCTCTCAAGGGCGATCTCTTGTGTCGCTTGCTCTACTTCACATGAATAGAAACACTTCAGCTATTCGTTGCGTTTCTCTCGTATTTAATCTAACTAACTAATTTGTTAACAAATTTTTATACTTACAATTTCAGAAACAAACATTTTTGCTCAACATTCGCTACTCAGTCGTTCGGAAATATCCTTTAAACTACGATGTATACGTTCAAAAATTTAATCTTTCATTTAATGATTTAGCTTAATTTATATAATATAATTTAAATGGGAATATTATATTTACGACGGTGTAATTCATTACCTTCTATCTGTTGATCACTTCCCGTCTGTGATCTCGACACGTGCCACAAGTCTTTATCGAAACTGTACATTGCACTGCACTTTGTGTTATTTAATAATTAACACTCATGATAAAATAAATTGTTCCTTGAGATATAATAGTTTTTCCAACATATATTCTTTAATACAAAATGTCTAGTTTCGGAAATTTTGTTAATATTTGAAATATTATTTCTTAACCAAATTCGAAATGATGTATATACTTGAAGTTTTTGAAGTGAAACTTCTTTAGGCGCATGAGGGTAATTTTTTTACGGATGAAACGCAATAATAATATTAGCGTGACGAAGTTTGCAGCGTTTTTGTCGAAAAAAAGGGAGAGAGCTATTGAGACCGCTTCAGAGAGGGTGAGAAAGGGCGAACGTAGCATGAAGCAAATAGCCATGGAGCGAGAGTAGGGAGCAAGCAAGTGAGAAAGATCGAGAGAGAGAGTGAGATAGAGCGAACGTCGCATCACGCACAGTGCCATGGAGCGAGAAGTGTGAGAGAGCTATAGTGAGAAAGATTGAGAGATCGAGAGTAAGGGAGATCGAGAAAAAATTAGTTTATGTTAGATGTATTCGTTTAGTAGTTACATATTAGAACTTTAGATGGAAATTCTTTTGCATAACGTCTTGTGCACTAAACGCAGAATTTTTATTTATTTATATTATCATTAGCACGTATACAGTGTAAATAGTGTGAATATATAGAGTGATCATATACTGGTACATGATAATTAATCTATTGGGGCTTTTACCTTAGTAATAAATAATTAAATTAAATATCTTAAATTGTAGAAAGTTTGTTAGTAAAAGCAAAATTTTTGTAAGAAGTATTTAATTTTGATCAACTACTCAAATATATGGACCACCAAGACGATATAAAAATGATTAGTGTGAGTCTCCCGGCTCCCACGCAAATATTGTATTACATGATAATATACATACGTTTACATACGTATGACGCATGTCTAAGAATCTTCTAGAAATCTTGTAGAATATTACATTTTATTCGTACCAGCAATTTTTTGCAGGGCTTCTTCTTAAGAATTCCGATTACGTCAAACGATTTCTTTAAAAATATACAAACGGTTAAAAGTTAGGGATTTTCACTTATGTAAATATAAAAATACATTGTGTAAATAATTCTTTATATAAAGATTATTGAACGAATTTATATTATACAATGAGATTGGTAACAAAGGAACGCCCACCCCCCACACCTACACAAATGAATTATTGTTTATGTCAATAGCTTTGTACTCAATAAAATTGCTAAATTTATGAATAGGGCGAGTCAATATAGACCTATTTTGACCCATTTATCCACAGTATTGTATTTTGCTTTCGAATTTTCGGTTACAAATCTATATTAATACTACCTGACCCAACAAACGTTATTTTGCCATGTATACTATTTCTAAGAAACATTGTTTATTTCAATCAAAATAACTATCTGCTTTAATAAACAATATGCGTTGATCGTAGACGGGTATTTTTGTATGTTGTATCACAAAAAAATAAAAACAAAAAAAAATTCAAAAAATAAAATAAATATTTTTTTGGGGTGGACACCCCTTATCTCTTAAGGGTTTGAATTATAGAGAGTAGTCGATTCTCAGACTTACTGAATATGCATAAAAAAATTCATAAGAATCGATCAAGCCGTTTCGGAGGAGTATGGGAACGAACATTGTGACACGAGAATTTTATATTTATAGAGATTATAAAAATGTGTAAATGTTATACAAATATTTTATTTCGAAATATTAAATTTGAATGAGGCTCGTATAAGAAATGTATATTACTATTGATTGATTGGTTTAAACTTCAAAGGAATGAAAATCATATATGATTATTTTTGTAAGCCCTCTGCGTATTTATGAAAGCGTACGTATCTGGCTAGCTATAAAAGAAAAAGTGCGTGCGTACAAAGTACACATGTCAAGTGAAACTTCTTTGGTAAACTAATTTTCAACTCTTGTTCATATTTATACAAATCTAAAACTTAAGATTTCCGAGACTTAAAAGGAGTGAAAAATTAAGATATGTTAGGAATTTAATGAATTTAATTGTCATAAAAATATTAAGTGTCGAAAAGTAATACAAATAATTAATTTATTGTTTCAAATTTATTTCTTCGATAATAAAAACACGTGGTATTTGATTCAATTCGTCATTTGAGATTTCAATAAATTATTTCGCATCAAAATATAAAATACTAATATTTCATAAATTCTCTTTACGAAATTTTAATTTTAAAAATATAATTTCTATAAGGTAATTCGCCAATCTCACTCTCTCTCAATCGGTCTCAATCGCTCTCTCCCTTCAACAAGAACGCTGCACATCTTCGTGACGTTCCGTAAAAAATTTACCCTCATGCGCCTAAAGAAGATTCACTTAAAAAAACATTGTAGCCTTATTTAAAAGACTTATTTTATCTATATATTATATACGACTTGAGTAGAAAAGCCACACTAATTACTCATGTATACAGAAGAAAAGGAAAGTACGAGCAACTTGATGAGAAAGTTCTAACTGGTTTGCAGGCAAACTGGATGATTAACATTGCTTTTTATTCTACCAAATTAAAAGTGTACTGTAAAACTTGATATATCGTTGTATATTTCATTAATTATTTCGATTATATATTATAAAAGTAATTTAAAAAAATAACCAGTGGTGCTACAACATTTTTAGGTCTCAGATTTCTGTATCTGTTTCATGATCATTTGTCAATTTAATAGACAAGTAGGTGATCAGCCTTCTATGCCTGACACACGCCGTCGACTTTTTGGGTCTAAGGCAAGCCGGTTTCCTCACGATATTTTCCTTCACCGTTTGAGTGTTGTTAAATGCGCACATAGAAAGAAAGTCCATTGGTGCACAGCCGGGGATGGAACCTACGACCTCATTGATGAAAGTCGCGCGCTGAAGCCACTATGGCCACGGCTTTAGAAAAATGATTTACCTACATATGCTTCCAAAAATGAGTGAATCTATATCTTAACTATTAAACCGATATTGAAGATATATAAGAATTATCAACCGAAATTTTTGGCCAAATTGAATGCCTAAATAGATCCTCATTTCCAATATCATATAACCTCCTATTTTTTAACGCATATTTATTATTATAAATACGCAACGTACTATACATATTTATATAAGTTATTATCAAGACATATCGATCTTGAGACTAAACTCGTGTTTTTAAATGAATCCCTTAACTTTCAATGAACTTGAAACGTGCCACGCGAACGGTGTCAGCAATGATGCAACATTTTATTATTCAATACACCAAGCATGAGGTTATCCATACAAAACGATAAGATACCCTATCGAAGTATTGACTCAATTTACGATTCTTCATATCTCAATCAACTTTGTTTCGCGTTCCAATTATATTCCAAGTAATTGGCTATACATTTAAACGATATGATAAATATATATATATAAGGTAAATAAACATATTGCTGACAGTTTAATTTTGATAGCAATAATATTTGTAAGGATATGTTATGTTGAAATATCCTATTTCTGAAGTTTAATTAATTACAAATATTACAGGTAGCGTCTAATCGTTTAGTAATTCATGTAGACAATGCAAAAAGTTGCTATCATGTTGCGTTGAAGGCTATTATTGCACAACTGACAAAAAGTGGAATAATTATTGAATTATTTACTTCACCTGACTAAATACTTGTATTTTTTACGAACAAGCCCATATTTTCATTAGCCTTTACGATGATTTCCCGATGTTAATTATACTTGTGTATATGTTTTATAGATTTTTTAAGTTTTCATCGTCCTCTCTTGATCAAAAGTTGCCTACGTAAGTGTTAAATGTTATAAGAATGTCACACAATTACTTGTATTTAATCTTGTATCTAGTTAATTAATATTTTTTGTGTACTATATGAACGTATTTTCACTTTAAAGCTAGTTAAATTTCTACCATTATTATTAAACGTATCAATTTTCTTTTGTCTTTTTAAAGTTATTATTCCCCACATCTACGTCACCACTTCAATATTTGTCACAATAGCTAAGAGTTTTGCAAAAACACGTCATTCATTTTTTTTTCAATATTTTTTAAATTCTAGAACAAACATCGTTAATTACAAGCCCTTGCCTATACTAACAAAAGTAAACAACTAAACTATTGATTTTTAATGACAATTGAAAACTATGTTATTACATACAAAATGCCACGTTTTTCAAACAACCTATTAAGTACCTTTTTAACTTTCGATTAGAAACTACACAGTATCCGAAACTAGCATTTTTATATTACTAACTTAATAAAATATCTTATAAGAATATAATAGAACACTACACAGCTGTTCTGACATCACATTGAACAAAAATTCTATACCGCGTCGCGTCCGCTGTTCGCCGCGTCCACGAAATAACTGAATCGCTTTAGATCACTGTTTAGTATGTAAACTACAGCCAAAGAATTCGAATATATAGGGCTACCACTGGTAAGTTATTATTATGAAAAGGTCATTGAAAAGAGGTGAATTAACGACCTACTATTATAGTTTGACTAAAAATAGCAATTAATATTTGTTAATTGTATCATTTTTGTTGTAATATTGATTCCTACCTCTAGGCAGCACACAACTATACCTAATTTGTAAGTTTATCAGCTGACAAATTTATTTACATTATAAAATATGCAGGTATCTAAATTCAATTACATTCACAACGCCAATTAAAGCCACCTACGCAACGAATAATCAGTCAATCCGAATTCTATGAATTACATTTTTAAATAAAAGTTTTATAGTAAACATTTTGATTAAATCTTATGCAACATCGAACATTAATAACCAAAAATCTACATAATTTTTCAAACGCTTAATAATCAGTAGGTATTAGATAATTAAGGCAACTACACATTCGCGAGCCAACTGATATTTCTATCCACAAGCACTCCACGGCAGTTACAAGATAGGGCTCTTACCGGTGTATAATGAGTGTCGCAACGAGTTTACTATTCACAAGAACCCCAAAAATGCTTTCAACTTAATGTAAAATAACAAGTACGACAAAAACCAGTTACATGTCTGGCTAACTTGCCAACGAGCCGGCGAAATCTGTACAAGGATTGCCTATTAAATATAATTTATGTTGTTTATCCTTGCAAATTGGCTGGCATTGTTCAGACGCAATTTATTTATTCGTACTAATAATGTAAAATATCGATACTACAAGAACCGGTTCTTCACACAACTGCGTTTCTGATAAAAACATGTATAAAATTAGTACGCTTTTTGTAAATAACCTGTAAGTAAAATAACAGAGTTTTTATTCTCAATTTATTACAAATCAATGAATAACGTAAAATCCAGTTTCGGAATTGTCAAGCATATGTCGTAGATGACAACACTTTTCAGAATATTTAACAGATAAAGCTAAAACGATATTTTAGAATTCTAATTTTAAAATCTACAATTTAATTTTCTATTCGACTAGCTTTATGGTTTGCTCTATTCCAAAAAAATTACAGCCCTAGGCGCCTTGGCTCGCGATAGTGAGCGGTGACCCGTCGAATGTAAACAATGGCTATGTAAATGTAACAATATTCAATAGAGACTATATTCCGTATGTATCTTTCCATCAATGTGGAATTTTTATCTCGACTAAATCATACCACAGATGATAGACGATTTATTACTTCCTTCAAACAGTAAATATTATTTATAAATGGACAACAAAATAACTTTTCACCGTATATACAGGAATGTGATGAATAAATCCACTTAATAAGTCTATATAGTATAGTATGTCGTCTTTGTGAGTTTTTAATGCGTCTGAATGAAATGCTAGATAAAATTGAATAAGATATTCAGGTAATTCATTATAGATTTGGTTTCTTAATAATCACGTACTTTTAAAGGACTACTAAATATAATTTTGAAATTGTACGATTATCGTGACGACACTGCTGTAAATGTCTAAACGCACTTAAAAATTTTGTAGTAATAAAATCAATAGCATCATAGTCGTAACATGTATTACACAATAATCTATGTCCTTATCGATTATTTCGCAAATTTAATCACACCTTCGATAGCTCAGTTGGTAGAGCGGTGGACTGTAGAGGTTAAGCTGTCATCCATAGGTCGCTGGTTCAAATCCGGCTCGAAGGAATCTTGTAAACTTTTTATTCTTAACATTTTTATTTTTTCAGTTATATGAAAACACCTTTACAATTACTACAAACAGTTATAGTAACATGTTAGAAGTACTATTTTTTTAAGCATTTAGTCACAAAATCATTTAAGACTGCAGAAGTAATTTGCATGTTGCAGGATTTCCCATATAAATACATATACATAATATGTAAAACTTACCTCCGTCATCAAAAAACGAGTCGGTGATGATGAGCGGGGACCGAGCCCCGTCTTGGACGCCTCGAGATGACATATTTAGTTCACACACAAATTTCACAAGACCACATTACACTTTACACTCTGTTTAATAAAACTAGAAAAATCTCAGGTTTTATGCTTCCTATTATTTACGATGCGAGTTCCCGAGCATGATAGACCATTTACGGACAAACCTTTACGTTGAAACTACTCATTTTTTCTTTCCTCATTTGACGGTTTTGTTCTGTTGTCATGTGTCGGTAGGCTTTGCAGCCTTTAAATCTAATTCTATAATGCCGACTTGCCTCATACAATGTGTTAAAAATGTTATCGAAATTCCACTCACTGTGGCAGTAGCGTAACTATAACATCTGGGGCCCGTGGCAAATTCTTTTGATGGGGCCCTATCAGTAAAAATCATCACGTTGTACTCAGTTCAATTTTATTAATGAGATTTTTAGCGTACTCAATTACACGTTGTATATGTTCCACTGGCCATAGCACTCCTCTCTTAGGCGAGAGGGAATGGTCTGTAATCCCCACGCTAGCCAAATGCGTATGGGAGACTTCACATTCATCCATAGAACATAATATCTCTCTTGGGTCGTATATATTAGATAGGTCTTAAACTATTACTATTGATAACGATGGCCACCCTAATTTTTAATTTTTTGGCAAAATTATTTATTTGACTGAATATTGAAAATTTCCATAATTTAGAGACAAATATTATACGTAATAAGTGTGTTTAGACTAACGACATAATATCAAATTGATATAAATATGTCTACAATTATGTTACAATGTCAATAAAGTTTTTGTTGATTAAGAAAATTAGTTATAAGTAAATAGGTTTAAATTTTACAGATATAAACGTGGGAAAACAAAATTATTTATTTGATTCTTTTAATTTTTAGATATTTTTGCTGCATTTAGAAATATTCAGCAGCGTTGAAAATTTCAAAGTATTACAAAACAAATATTATATATATAACATTACGTATATATTGCGTGTCAATAAAGTTTTTGGTGTAAATATTTTTAATTTTGAATAAACTAAATGAATTATATTTATAAATTATAATTAAAAGAGCGTTATAAAGTATTCTGCACTGCACACACTTTGGGCCTTGAAACTGCGCAATCAATCTAATTGCGAGAAAAACTAATAAATCCACTGAGCTATTAATAGACGTTTGCAGTTAACTCATTTCATAAACATGGAACAAAGTGACCCATTTACTAGCGACGGAATATTTTGGTCACGGCTTTTTGTATTACTCATATTTTAACACTTTAGAAAATGATTTATACTAACGGTTTCTTGTACATATCAAATTGGAATATTATTTTTGACAATGACCGAAATTCAGATAATTTAATTTTAACTTATTACCGATCAACTCAAGACAATTATTGTTTCGTTGGTAATCGAACCCAAAATGGTAATGCGGCATATGCGTTCATCGATAACCAAAGACAATTTAATAATAACCACTACTACTATGGACATTGTATTCGTTTTTACAACAAACCCCCAAGCGATTAGAGAATTATCACAATATATTCATTATCACAATAAATTCAAAACTCTTGTTAAACGTAAATTAATCAATAAAGATTTTTATGAATTCGACAATTATTTTAATGATCCTGATCCTTGGGATTGTTTTGCTCCAGTTCAAATATTTATGGCTGCCTTAAAAACAATTTGTATGACTCAAAACTTGGCGATCAAAAAGAGTGGCGGAGAGTTTCTTGCCAGTTCTTCATGCCAGCCTATAAACAATAAACTACAAGCTCCCACCTTTTCAGAATGCCAAATCATAAAATTACTGCTTCATGACTGATTTGAGAGCGACCGCCGATGCGAAAACCGCTGTGTGAGTTCGAAAAGTGAGTTACAGAATCGCAGGGCTGCTCTGCGCCCTTGACGCGAACTGATAGTAAATGTAAATTTAGAATCAATTTAACATCTTTTATGTTGACGATCATAAGTGTACTTGGTTACCTATATGAAAGTTATATGAAAAAAAAACTAAAATTGTTCATATTAAAATGAATATACCAAAAAATTCTGGTTATAGTGGGGATGGTGACACTTGAAGCAGAAATCAATGACATCATTTAATTTAAGAAAAGCAATTCAATCATTGTTAAGTTTTACTACAATCTATTTCACATCTTTAAGTCGTCGTAAATAAATGCAAATAGGATTTTGTAAATGTCATATTTCGTGTACAAATCATGAAATCTTTAATAGGTAGATATCGGTAGATAGCATTAAAATTAGCGTTTGTAATGTTTACTTTAATTGTCTTTGCTATTAAATATTATATTACTAGCTGATGTATACTAAGATTAAAGTTCTTTGATTAGAGTGATAGTATGTTTTTTATTACATAATCACTGGTTCACTATAATGCTTTACGAATGTTAATTACGAAAAGTCTAATATTTTTTTTATTTCTTTCGATAACTATTATATATAAATAAATCTAGGAAATCTGCAAGCATTTAAATTTCTTTATGGAATTAAAATAATTTAGAAAAAA